TTAAAGATAAGCAGCGACACACACAGAGAGCGCCTACACTGAACAGCACATGAACAAAGATAAAACAAGAAGTGGCCGCTGCAGCACCNAATATTATATTTCAGCATCCTGTTACACTCACACAATATATATGGATAAATACCGTCTTAAGTGCAACAAATTTTATTGTAGTTTTTACTTCTTTTCCTCCTCCACACTACATGTTTCGGCCCTAAATGGCCATCATCAGGTGTGTATCACTCACGTAGCTGTTACACTGCTTGTTAAAATTTAAAATTACCAGTCTTTCTAATTGTATAAAATCTTTGTTTATCTACACGGCCATTTAGGGCCGAAACATGTAGTGTGGAGGAGGAAAAGAAGTAAAAACTATAATAAAATTTGTTGCACTTAAGACGGTATTTATCCATATATAATGTTCTTTCATCTTTCTTAATTTGCCTTTCTCATTTCCTCACCCCAAATGAAATCCTGGGTACTGAAATTGTTACATTTACTTTATAATTTTGTATTTAAATGCAATATTCAAGTGAAATACTGTTATATGACCTATGTGTTCCAGGTGGGTATGTACATTGGAGAGATGTGCCGTTATATTATGGCCACACCCTGCAAACCAGAAGATTCAAAACACTGTATTCGCATGATGTTAGGCAATGGCATGCGATCAACCATCTGGAAAAGCTTCATGGAACGATTCAAAATTGGACAGGTTGCAGAATTTTATGGCTCCACCGAGGGAAATGCAAATATGAGTAAGTTTTTTTTCTTCAAAAAATTCTGTTATATTTTTAAAAGAAGGGGGAAAAAAATATGCATGTGTATGAAGGGAGTTATACACATATTTAGAAGTTTACCAATCCTCCTCCTCATCCTCTCTCCCCTTTTCATGTGCCTTGTTTGCTGAAAAGTCTTTAATCTTATCTTTCATTTTTCAGTCTTTAATTTTCAGTTTCTTGCCAGCTTCTGTCTCTATTGATGTCTGGCTAAATCATCTTATTCTGGGTCATCCTATGTGTCCCTCTAATTTAAATTTGAATTATAATGGGCTTCTTGATATTCTTTTCTATCCATTTCTTTTATATGACCAACTGTAGTAATTAATTAAAAAACATTAATGAACAAAAATTAATTCTAACATCTTGTTACTGAGCGACTTGTCTGAGACTGTAATACATGTGGCTTGTATTTGGGAGATGCCTGGTTGAAATCTATTTGCCATCATTTGATACTATATGGCATGAATTTCTAACATAGTTTTCAAACAATTAAACAAATCCAACTTGTTCTCTGAAAGTTTCATTTCTAATTCTATCCTTTTTTGTTTTTCAATGAATGTTTCTAAAACATTCATATCCATTATTCATTTGATAGTACTATTGTTTCTCTTTGTAAGATTCCATTTTTTGGCATCATGCATTGGTGTCCACTTACAGATTTTTGTTTTGTATTGTGCTGAAATACCTCTGTTCTCTAAAATGCCTTCTATAATTTGATAATATTTAGAACTATTATTTATTTTTCTATTAATATATCCATCTTTTTATTTGTTTAACTTTCAAATAATTCCATCTTTTCACCTATTAAGCACCGTGCCATTAACCTTTATTCTGAAATTTGTTTCCAAGTTTTTTTTAAATCCTCATATATACATTTTAAATCATTTTATAAATGATACATGATGGCGAGCAGTGCACACACCTGAGGATGCCGAAACATGTAGTGAAGTGACATGTGAGACTGAGTGCACTAGAAGACGGTCAATACATACATATCTTGTACACAGCTGACAATTTATGAGTAAGTAAAGCACATCCTGAGTAACATGGAATGCAGATGTTACACATTATTTTTTTTTATATATATTTCCACGCAGCAAAAATTCCTAAAGGAATATATGTACAACATATTCATGTTGTTCTTCATTTATATTTCTTCTAGTAAATCCTGATGGCCAGATAGGTGCTGTTGGATGTTTCCCTCGATGTGTGCCACGATCACTCTTGCCCATTGATCTGATTAGAGTGGATCCAAATACAAACATTCCAATTCGGGACAAGAGAGGGCTGTGCATCCAATGTGATGCTGGTAAGTCAGTGATTTACACCTTGTGTTTTTAGGTAAGTATCTTAGTAGGATAACGTGAATTATAAGAGAGAAAAAGAGTACATACTGATGTTTTATCCAAATTCTAAATGTCTTCAATAAATATGTGTACTTTCTTTCCCCATACATTTGACTCCTCTCAGTTTTATTACGGGAATACATTTTACATAATCTTCATAACAGGGGATAGTTAGAACCAGCTAAATTTTTTAGGAGCGAGACAAAATATGTATTACAACTTTCACAACACTTCCTTATACCATATAATTAGGTCCATTCCCATCTATATTTCTGGCACCTACTTCAGATTTATTGACTGAAAATGGACTTAAAATCAATACCAATCACAATATGTGAAAATACTAGTGTTTTGCTCTTTGCATTATATCAAACAGTATCTTTCAAACTTGGGCCATTCATGTTGATCATCCTTAAATCATGCATGCTGCTCGTCTGCAATTACTAGTGTTCTGCACTTCTCATTTTATCAGTATTTTTCACACTGGTCTCATTCATGTTGAGTATTTGTGTTGCTTCTCAGCAATAATGACAAAAGTTTTTCAACATATCCATACCTTTAAAATCCCTCTTACATGAGACTGCTGATGTTGGTTGTACTGCAGCAATACTGAAGTCCATGAGAAAGTATTGAAATGATTAAGAAACCATTATCAGTAGCAGCAAGCCTCTCCTCGAAATACTGTATTCCACCTTTAATCAACTGTTATTTGTCAGTTTAAAACACATTTGGCATACATTTTTATAACTGTCAAGTTGTACACCTTGGACAATACTACATCTTCCTGATTTATGTTCCAAAATTTCACAAGAGTGAACTGATCTCTTAACATGGCAATCCACCAGACTGAGAAGCAGATTCTTCTCCTTAATTATGAGGGAGAGTTCCACAAAGATTTCCAAGAAGTTCATCAGGAAGTAAACTGCTCATATAATTACAAACCTGAAAGGCTTAATTCTTTTAGAACAGCTTGTGCTGCAGCTGCTTCTTTTCCTGCCTTATATCTAGGGTCTTCTAGGTGTAGAAAAATATACTTACAGTACCTCACCAGTGCATTTGCTAGTAACCCAACAAATAGTATGCAGGTATTGTGGCCTTAAGAGAGCCTCTGACACATTCTGCAACTGTGTCATTCTCTTTGAAACGTTTCTGTAGAATCTATGCATTTTTACCAACATATGATCGACCTCATCAAGGTACTTTATTTTCTTCCTGGATCTGAGTACAGTCAGGTTTAGCCTGCGGGAATGCACTTTGATGGTTCTGTCACCAAGCCGTTTCGTTTTCCTGTCACTGAACTTGCATGCCATCAGTTCCAGTGCCCATCAGACAATCTCTTGACAAGAGTTCCAATATTTTTAACTATCTCTGGACAGCATTAAAATAGCCATTTGCAGAAGCATGGAGATAAGAAAGATTCCTGTATCCTGGTGTTTTCCAGGTTATGCACACATAAAATATTTTGATCTTCCTCTAATATATCAGTTTATCCTTTAAGCAGGAGGCTCATTGAAGTTTAAATCTTTACACGTGCTATGAGATTATTTTCAACATTTGCTGAAGTATGGTGGATAAATTCTCTGCATGACTTCTAATGTTATATTCTGGTAAAGTATAAGAATTGCACTCCTTTATCAGATCAGATGGTCTCATAGTCCTAAAAGTGGTTTAGTCTTTAACAGTGTAGTTTGAATAACAGAATATCATCAAATGATTAACCATATTTTCATCTGCCTTTAAAATAGATCATGCAGTGGGAGAAGGTAAGTTCATTTTCAAACTTCTTGTGCTGATTAGATTTTTTGTGTTTCTTAAAACTTTCAAATTTCAAAGGACCAGTGAATACTTAAACAATTTGTGATGACAAGTCACCTAAATCAGGAAATAACCTGCATTTGTAGCACTTCACATTATTTCTTTCTGGATCTGAATGAGGCCAGAGGGTTTAACCTTTAAAGACCGAATTTTTTCCAAACTAAATATAAAAATTCAGTTCGTACCTCACAGGAAACACACTGTGTCTCCGCTACAAGGACCAACCGGTTAATGCTGTTTAGGAAAACGTTCGATGCTTATTGTGAGAACCATATTAAACACACAAACACACAAACACACTGTGCGGGCAGAATGCAGAATTCTACTATGTTAAACCAGGTCGTGCATATAGTAACCATTAGGCTTTAAAAGGTTAATCTGACCAACTTCTCTGAAGTTTACATATACCTTTCATAGCTTTTTGTGTAAATATGACTTTCAAAGTTAAAAATTTTTATGCTGTACTGTAACGTTATTTTTCACTGAGGTAATCATATTTGTGTGTGCTTTTGTGCCTTCAGGTTAAATGTGCATTGGTTCTCAACACAAGAAAGTTCTTAATTTAAGTCCTTTGGACAAAACACTACCACTATTACAATGGCTATGATTTCTGTGCTTCATTTTTGCACAGAAGACTTCACTCATGATCAACACAAGCCATTGACAGAAGACTTAGCACACATATAAAACAGTGAACGAAAAATGAACACTCACCATACACCACCACTGCTTAACTAATAACACTATAAACACAACCAATTATAAATCTTGCAATTCATAATTTCCCTCCCATAACAACTGCTTTTACCAGTGGCTTCATAAAAAAATGGGGAGAGAGAAGGCCTCCTATCACTCTGCCAAAACCATGAAGTAACAAGCCTAGCTTTGAAAAAGAAAGTGGTATTAAATTAATAAACAAAGAGCCATAGACTTGGTGTGTGTGTGTGTGTGTCACATAAACAAAAATAAAAAATTAAGGTAATATTACTCTTATTCCTTCATTCTGAAAGATAGTATCTTTAATTACTAGCTCTCAGCACAAAATTTGTAGTCAGCTAGGAAACTGGAAATTTGGAAAATTTCTACCCCTGCTCATAACTACAAACTATTATTTCTAATACCAACAACACAGTTTATATACATGACTATTAAATATTATATCTCTGATTAGATGGCACAATGTACTGGGTGGGCATTGGCCTCCTTATATTTCATCTTCAATTTCATCATATAAATATATATTTTTATTATTTGCATTCCAGGTGAACCAGGAATGCTTGTAGGCTTGATCTCATCATCTAATGCAGTTCGAGATTTCCATGGCTATGTCGATAAAAAGGATTCATCAAAAAAAATTCTTCATAATGTATTCAAAAGGGGAGATAAAGCATTCTTAACTGGTGAGTACAAAATGACTGCAGTTGAGTACAATAGTATCACATCAATGGATTCAGACATCTGCTGAGAAATTTGTTTATTTTTACCTGTTACATGCTTCTGTTTGGAAATTTCTGATGTGGTACAGGGGTTAGTATTTGTTCTTGTATTTCATGTTCCAATCCATGTTCCTCATAATATGTGTTGAAAACAGTTCAAGCAGTGAGTGAACAAGAAATATTTCAAGCTGTGTTTAAGAAAATTTGTTTTCAAAAACAGATTTTTTAACAAAATTTCTGGGTTTGTGAACTGACAACCAGGCATGAATATTTTCTTCTATTCAGAAGATCTACGACACAAATTCCATTGGCTATCTTCACTAAAGTTATGAAGACTTTTGTCAGCACGTATGAAAATTCGGCAGTTATGCCCTTTAGAAAGACACTCAAAGTCATACTTGGCAGCTGGAATAAAAAGAATATTTAGTGACATGTTTGCAAATAAGGGTTTTCAATTATGAGAGCTTGTAATGTTAAACATTTAATTGAATTGAATTGAATTGAATTTATTTACATTCTATAAATCCTAAGCAGGTTAGTACCTTTGGATACAGAACAAGTCAAAAGGTTACATACATAAGTACAGGCAATTTTAGCTTAAAAATTAATATAACTTAATTTTACATCATTCTCTATTTACATTGAAGTATTCATCTAAAGAGTAGAAGGAATGAGCATGTNTAAACAACAAATAGGAGAAGCGATAATATGTATTGCGATTGAAGCGGTAGAATTTTTAATTTCTTAAATAATTCTCTACATGAATCTCTACTTCTACATCCTGTAATGATTCTTATTATATTCTTTTGTATTTTAAAAATTATTACACTATGTGAAGAGTTCCCCCAAAATATTAATCCATAGTTCATAATAGAATGAAAGTAGGCATGGTAAACCATCTTCAATGTTTCCTGTGACATAAAAGGCTTAATTGATCTCATCGCATAGCAAGCTGCATTTAATTTAGGTATAATTTGTTCAATATGTACTTTCCAAGACAGTGTACTGTCTGCATGTATTCCAAGGAATTTTGTATCAAGTACTTTACAGATTAATTTGTTGGCATAACTGATGTCCAGATCAATTTGGTGGTTGTTTTTAGTTGTGAAGTCCATATATGAAATATATATGCTGCAAAACCTCCAATCTTAGAATCAATATTTATTGAACGTAAACTGCTATAAGCAAAAAGGAAAGACTCCTGTCAAAATACAGGTGCAGAGATTTGATATCACAAACTTTGTGATGTATATATCAAACAAGAGTATCAGACCAAAATTTGAAGTGAGTTTCGAAAATGCAGAAAATCTGTCAGAGAACACAGATAGTAGTGAAACTGATATTAAAGCTAATAATGCAACAACATGGATATTCACAAATTTCTTTCTCTCATTCTCTCTCACACACTTTCACAATCACAAATTTTCACAAAATAGTGAAGACAGAGAGAGTGGGATGAAAAACAAACTGTTTGAAGTTGCAGTCACAAAAAAAATGCCGTGGCCCTTAACAGCAGTTGTAACAATTTCAATCCTGTTTCTATATTTTTATATCTTATGAAGACAGCAATTATCTAGGTTATATCTCACAGCTACAATTCACTGATGAGTCTGCTCTCCCATGGAGTTATCTCAGGGTTAGTCCAGAAACTTCCTCATTATAAGTACCCGTCATATCAGAGTATAATTTGGTATGATTTGCTGTTATGATACTGTTTCAAAAGCATCACCTCAGAACAAATATATTCATTTTGAGTTTACAATAGAACCAGGTCCATAAAAAAACTAATTTATTTTTAGGTGACCTTCTGGTTATGGATGAATATGGATACATATATTTCAAGGACAGAACAGGAGATACTTTCAGGTGAGATTTACACAAAAGGGTCTAGATCTGAAAAATGATCACTGTCAGTTATAAGAACTTTCATGTCAAGATTACAATGTATTATAACACCCTCAAAATGCAGACATTATTTCAGCCTTTATGTTCTGACTTAAAATGAATATTCCTCAGGTTCTTCTGTTATGCTGCAGAAAACCATTGATTCATAAGGACCATACAATAACGTGTAAATATTTAAGATGTAATTAACATATATATGTAAGATTTGAGGCTTTCACGGCGGTGACTATGAAGAAAGCAGTCTTCTGGGATTTGGCACCGTGTATATGTGGTGTTAACCGACGTTTCGGAGGAACGTATCGCCTCCATCTTCAGGGTAGAAGAAAAAATATATAAGAAATCTGCAAGCAAAGAGACTGCTTTTACCGGTTCTCACGGTCTCTTTGCTTGCAGATTTCTTATATATGTTTTCTTCTACCCTGAAGATGGAGGCGATACGTTCCTCCGAAACGTCGGTTAACACCACATATACACGGTGCCAAATCCCAGAAGACTGCTTTCTTCTTAACATATATATGTTGTATCTAGTGGTTGTGCATTACTTTTAATAATGTGGAATACCATGTTTTAACATTAATTTTTAATGTCATAAGACTTTGTTTAAATAACTACGCAGTTGGTATACAGAATGTCCCAGGAGGAAAGATCAATGTTCTAGGCCACAGTATCAGTCATTCTAAGCAAATGTGTATATGTACATGTGTCCTATTCCAAACGATTTTTGGTGTAGAGCTAGTTCGCTGTACAGTTCCAAAATTGTCGATAAGAGATATTACGTACTGTTTCTAATACTGGTATCTATCGTTCAAGTGACAAAGTTGGTAATATCTACACAGCACCACATCCCAGAAGACTGCTTTCTTCATAGTCGCCGCCGTGAAAACCTCAAATCTTACAAAGTTGGTACAGTTTACCTAGTATAATACATTTTCAAGATATCCACCATCAAGAACAGTGCACTTTGCAACTCATGTGAGGACATGGCGTGCTGCTCATCTGTAGCGTGTACAACATACTGTATAGTGAAATAGGTCTACTTTGGAAACCGTTCAGAATAGGACACATGTACATATACACTTTTTTGCTTAGAATGACTGATACTGTGGCCTCCCAGAATATTGGCCTTTCCTTTTGGGACACTCAGTTAGCTAAATTGTTACACTTCATCCAAGAGTCACGCACTATTTTTAGGGTGCCTGCAGATTATTTTCAGTGCTGCTGGGCAAATATGTAATTATAGTGACTTACTTTTCTGCTTCATGCTCACTCATCAACAATTAAGTGTTTATTATGTTCACAATGAATCAACATGATGTTATGTTTTGAGTATGTGAGTAATTATTAGCTTCTTAAGCACTACCCTTCTCTATGGAGGTAGTTATAACAATATTATTAAATAACAATGTAAGATATAGATATTGAACTGGCATCTGTAGGTCCTTACATACATTATTATTCCTGCTGACTGGTGAATGTTGTAACAGAAATAAATGTTTGTTATTTAGATGTGTTACGTAATTTTGTAATGAAGATATGTTCTATATATTCTTGACAGGTGGAAAGGTGAAAATGTTTCAACTGCAGAGGTGGAATCTGTAATTATAAATGTAATTGGTCTCAAAGATGTAGCAGTTTATGGTGTGCAGGTAAATACATATAGTTTTGAACTTTATTCTGGTCATTCATATTGTCACATATTTAGTGGTGTGACTATAGATGGGGTATGCACTGGATACTGGATTTATTCACCACTTGTATGCACCACTCAGAACTACACTTCACACACCACTGACACACACAGACTAATGTACTCAGTCTATTACAGTCACCACTAGCCATTTCCTGGCAACAGCTTCTTCTGAGGGAAATTCTTCACCTTCCTGCACTCAGGTCCTCTTGTCACAGCCGTCTGTGCAGAACTCTTGTCAATTGACAATTCAAATTAAATGGGTCCCAGGAAGACAGCTATTTTACACCAAGCTCCTAGTCTTCTCTCCACAGGCTGACTTTAAACTGAAATGAACTGCAACTGAACTCTCTCACTCACCAACCAGCTACTTCACATCACTTCACTCAACTGAACTGCTGAAAACTTCTGACTGCAGCTCAGCTGGTGTCCTCATTATATAATTTTGGGGTGGACCAAACAGAAAACACTGGCTCCAACGATTCTTCTATTGTTGTCATGGGCAGTTGCCTAGCAGTAGACTGGATATCATTTCTGCGAGAACATATTTACTGAAAATTACTTAGAAATGGGTGTTTATCTGCCTATTGCATAGCAATGGCTGTACTTGTTGTATGTGTTGAGGTCTCTGCCCAGCAGTAGGTCTACATGCCACAATATGCATTGATTCTGTTGCTTTTGTCTAACCAAACACTAGGCACCAAAAAGCTTGATCTAGCAATAACATTTAGACTTGTATTTAGGAGGTCCTTCATTTGAATTCTGGCAGGACACCAGCTATCCTGACTGAGGTTCATCGTGGTTTTCCTCAGTCTGCCCAGGTTAATGCTGGGATAGTACCTCAATTACGTCATGGTCAGTTCCATGCCCAGTGCAACTCATTATTAATTTACCATCCTACCATTCAACTCCAAATAGTCTGCAGTCCTTAAAGTCTCACAGAACAATACATTAAAAACTACTAGGTCTGATGATAGAGATTTCATGCTTTGATGGTTCAGTGCTAATATGGATCTATTTCAGAGTGACTGCATTGTGTTAATGTATGCTGTATTTCCTTGAAGACTGTTAAAGTAGAGACCTCCATTACAATGGCAATATGACTTACATTTAATTGCATCATCACTCAGAAGCACAATTTTCATAGGTATTAGTATACATATGTAAATATCCTATCATAAATGACACTGGATATTGTAAATATTTAACAAAAAAGTACATGATATGGTAAAACGTATGTGAATTGGATAAATGTAAACTAGAGTAAGGGTGAGGGATACTCCTTCACTTCTCTCTGTTCCGAAGCTCTTCAATTTAGAGGAATTAGTAAAGCTACAAATGATGTTCTTTATCAAATATGGAAGTGGGCCTTCTCGAATATAGTTTTGTTTTATTTTTATAAGTTAGCCAGGAGACTAGGTTTTGACGCTACATTGTAACATTTACAATAAGCTGTTCAAAAATTCCAGTCTATAACTCAATGTGGGATAATATATTTTCCTGTAAGTGAGGTACTGATGCCATATTTTGAGAATTGTTTACAAATATTTCCTGCAGGACAAACAAAATATTTCAATTAAGTTTATCTTATGTCTACTGTCAGGTTCCTGACCAGGAAGGAAGAGCTGGAATGGCTGCCATTGCAGACCCTAACAACACCCTGGATATCAAATCCCTTGCTAATGGTCTTGAAAAAACTCTTCCATCATATGCTCGACCAATCTTCATTAGAGTGCTCGAGAAAATGGACATTACAGGAACATTCAAGATTAAGAAAATTGAATTACAGGAAGATGGATTTGACCCTTCTAAAATCAAAGACAAGCTTTATGTACGTTCTGGGAAGGAATATGTGCCTCTGACCTCACAGCTCTATCAGGACATCCTGAAAGGTGCAATAAAAATATGACCAAGAAAATATTTTGTTAGTTGCATACTTTATGGCAGTTATTCTTAAAAGAGTATAGTCTGCGAGAATTTTAGGATGTGTACAAGCTCAGCGTCCTCCCCCCCCACGATTTTGAGAGAGAAGCCAAAACTGAAAAAGAAAATTAAGGTAAAATACTAGAAATTCAAAACAAAAAATATTCTTCTATCCTGAATACTCTAGGGCAGTTAGGATAACCAGTCTTAAATGTATGCAAACCTTCCAGCCTCCTTCTCCAATTTCTCATCTTTCCCATGCATTCTACATTCCAACCCATCTCATCCTCCTTGATTTCAACATAATAGTAATAATAATAATAATAATATTTGGCAAAGCATACAAACTATGAAGCTTCTCATTGTGCATAATTATGAGGCATCATACCAGTTCTATGTTATGCTAAACTCTATAAAATGTCATGATTTGTAATTTTTTATGCCAGCTTTAATGCCTCTGAAAACTTTAAAACTAATTCCTCAACAGTGGGAACATTGCCCAGTCTCCATACATAATGAAGCTGAGTGCATTATGCTGTCATTGTCCCTCACATGACCCATGCTCTATGTAACAAATTACTTTTACAGAAATCTGTTTGTATGACTGATCATGCTAGTGAAAAGAATGTTTATTACTGATGACCTTGGAGGCCAGAGTCTGAAATGCTACTACCACAGTACACAGTAATTTTACTCCACAATTTTATCTGACCCATGTTCATTTGGCCATAACTCAACAGGCTTAAGTTCAGTGGCACTCTAGGTTAACTGTTCAGGCACAGTACTTTATTCCATACTTTTTCATCAGTACTTTTACATGAATGCTGGAAAACTGCTCTGTCCACCTGAGTTCATTCTTCTTAATTAACAAACTGTTAGAATCTGGACTATGGAAACAGTAACAATTATAACATATGCTACCTAACAAATGGTGCATTACATCTGCACTCAGACAGAAGTCTTATTAGCATAGCTACATTTTTAAGAAGAAACAGATGCATAAATTGGTAAATATGCCCATTTCAGCTCTTACAGGTTACTGGTAAAATAAAAAGCTCTTCTTAGATCTAATGTGAAGTCTGTCAAGTGATGTCTCCTATGGAGGATTAATAGCTTACATACAATGAAGAACTGGTAAATAAAACTGTTTTGCTTTAATTTTTCTTGAAGGGAAGTGGAATAAGACAATAGTGTTGAAAGACATTGCCATGAGTTATGCTCAATTTTCTTTACAAATTTTACAAAATGAAGAACTGATCATATTTGAATTCAGAAACTTTTCAGTTCAGCCATATAAGATATTAACTCAAACTACTGTTAATCATTTACCATCCTAAACATTAGTTTCACCATTCCATATATTTTTCCCAGTGTTATAAACTAAGACTTGTCAGTTATTTGTATTCATAATATGCTGATCTTGTTTTAGTATACATTTCATAAATAAACTGTAGAATAGTATTTAACTCTATCTAAACCTGTATAATTCTCGAGTACCAAGTAACATACAACATCTTGTAAGAAGAAAAAAAGAAAAAGAAGAAGGTAAAGTAAAGCTATCCCTGTAACAGGCCATGAAGGCCCATAGGGTTGTGAGATGTTGAGGGTCCCACATTATCTAGACAATCGGCTCAAAGATGGCGGTAAGGTTGTCAGCCTTACGCACCAAATCACTGTATGTAACAATTTAAAAACTGTAAAAGTGAAGTACTACCTTCATCCATGAAGACCTAAAACTAAGAGAGAAAAGTATAGTTTGATGTGTTTTTATTATTTCTTTTTCTGTCATAGTTTTAGGTTTTCATGGATATGTGCATAAGTTTTATTGCTAAATTTTCTATTGGCCAGACTTGATACTAGTGGCTTATACAGTTTCATTTCACTGACTTGAGTTGTCTAATAATTAAGAGAATCTGTTTTGATAAGACCCAAGTAAATAAATGTCTCCGCACTTTTTCACCAGAAGATGGAAACTGATCCGATTTCTAGAAGAGTGTGTTTGGAATACTAGATGATGGACAGGCTCAGACACCCAGTGACATTACATAACCCTTCAGAATTAGTGTCCTTTGGGTCAGTTGAGTGTAAGCTTCAGTACATGCGATCACAAAGGTATGCAAATTTCCTCTAACAAATGGGAATGACCTGTTACAGTTTGGATATGCAACTCACGTTCCATTTAGCCTTCAATAGATGATATGATGCTATTAAAATTGATTCCCACAGTTATTTCATAATGAATCTTATACCAGAAGAAGTACCCATTCTTCATCCAGAACATGCCTCGTGAGTGTTACAATTTACCACAGCTAAAACTTCAAAGAAGGAATAATGCTCCAATAGCAAATGAAAAAGAAAAATTTCAAGAGTATATAGTGTACACTTAACAGTGTTCTGACAGAAGGAATTATAAATGACGTTTATTGTATTTATCGCAATAAGGTTATTAAGCATTTGTATTTAGGAAAGCTAATGAAAGTATTTATGTACTTATATAAAACTATGTTTTAATTAAATATCCCTGCACAGACACATAAAAATTCAGATGAGGTGAAGTTTCATTTAGTTATTACTGAGAATAACAAACTTTTGTAATCTTGGCCTGTATTTGAAAAACCACTGTTGATTGCTTGATAATCTTCACATGTGTCTAGAGGACCACTGTTGAATATACAATGTTTGAAATGTGGGCACAGTATAACAATGTTTGTTTAATTATACGGAAAACTATAAGACTTACGGAAAAGATGTACTGGATATAAAATTTGTTTCACTGTCCTGTACAGCATTTGTTTGAAAAATGTTAAAACTCTGGTAAATATTTAAGGAGTTATATTCAAGATATGTACAAAAACACATGTAAGTTTTCACATAAAATGTCCATTATTTTTATTTTATTTTAAACAAAATTGTAATGTGCCAATATATTGCAATAAAACTTCCCAACTTCAATTTTATGAACCTCCATTCCAGTTCTCAAATTGTTTCATGCATGCAAACAGCATAATTTTAAATAGGTGCTCCACAGGGATACAAAAACTTGTGAAAGACTGGAAATTAGGCTTTGAATCATAACTGGAAACTCCATCACAATATTTACACATCACTGTAATATCTGTGGCTACTGTATAAATTGGTGAGAGTACAGGGTACAAGTCATCTCTGGGTGGTCTTTATTAGATCCATGGTAAAACAGTGAAGAGAAACGATACACTTTTATGTATACTTGATTATCATGCCTATGGAAGGAACTGTGCAAAATTTTCGTTTAATCATTGGGTCTCAAGAAAACTGGCTCACAGATGGCAGTGAGATTGTGAGCCTTATGCACTGGCCACCCTTTACTCCCAGGAAGATTCCTAGTACTCAGAGGCTGAGTTGAGGACACAGTGGGGCTGGAAGGATTAAGTCAATTGAAAAATCCAAGGACCTCATCAAGAAACAAACCATTGACCTGTAGGCTTGTGGCACAGTGCCTCAACCAACTATGTTATAGCATGCCCCCACAAAAGCCAGGTGGGACTGAAATTATATGGGACATATCGGCTCCTGGTTTATGCTGACGATGTAAATCTACTGGAAGATAACATAAAGAAAAACACAGAAACTTTAGTTGGCGCTAGTAAGTTGGTTGGCCTAGAAGTAAATGTTTGCTGTCTCATCACCAGAATGCAGTGCAAAATCAGTAACATAAAGACAGCTAACAGATCCTTTGAAAATATGGCACAGTTCAAATATTTGTGAATGATACTAACAAATCAAAATTTGGTTCAGAAGAAAATTAAGAGGAGACTGAATTCAGGTAATGCTTGCTACCATTCAGTCTAGAAACAAAAATTAGAATATACAAAACTATAATTTTGCCTCTGGTTCTGTATGGGTGTAAAACTTGGTCTCTGACATTAAGGGAGGCACAAAGACTGGGGACGTTTGGGAACAGGGTGCTGAGAAGAATATTTGAACCACAGAAAGATGAAGTTACAGGAGTATGGAGAAAACTGCATAATAAAGAGCTTCATAACCTGTATTCTTAGCCAAATATAATTACAGTGATCAAGTGAAGGAGGATGAGATTGGTAAGGCATGTAGCATGAATGGAGATGTGGAAAGCACATAGGGTTTTGGTGGGGAAGCCAAGAGGAAAGAAGCCACTAGGAAAACCATGATGTAGGTGGCTGGATAATAATAAAATGGATCTTAGAGATAGGATAGGGGTGGTAAGGAGTGGACTGATCTGGCTCAGGGCAGGGACCAATGGAGGGTTCCTGTGAACATGATAATGAACCTTTGGGTTCCACAAAACATTGGGAAGTTCTTGAGTAGCTGCACAATTGGCAGCTTCTCAAAAAGGGCTTAGCTCCATGAAGTTAGTTTAGCTATTGGCATAGAAATTTTTATGTACTTGCTTTCTTAAAACTAAGTCTTTATACAGAACATATTGCCTTCACTCCTTGCAGGCTAACAGGACTGTAAGTTTCAATGGCTTGCCCAGTATTGCAGTCCTCTGCCACTGTTCACTTCCTTTATTGATTTGCCAGGCTACTCATCAGAGATACAGGCATAACTCTTTTTCCCAAGGTTGTAAATGGGTGATGGGCTGAAAGAGTAGCAATGCTGGGCTTCCCAGACGGACTAGTTTGGGAACAGGATGAGGCACTAATTTGGGATTGGGCACAACTGATGAAACCCCTCAATTGAATTCAATCATCTGCTCTTTATTCGGCACTTCCCACTATCCCATTTGCACTCACTTATGATACAGACTCGTATTAACGGGTTTCAGAACTCAAAGCTCCACTCGCCTATGTACCACTGCTGCAGAGGCCCCCATCCCCCTTCCCTTCAGCTCAGCATATGGAGGCTGGAATTCATTGGTCAGGCTATTACCTGCATCTGGTTATTCCTAATTACTAAATACTTATAATTAATTGGGAGGATGAACATGAGGTTACAACAGTCTTCATTTCTATGCCAGTTACATCAAAAGTGATACAACACTATGACACAGTTTATATAAAAATTATGAATAATTTTATAAAAGAATGAAGATCATAAAGGATATTAAATACCGAGAGTAGTATTTCTTAATCAGTAGTTGTACAATATGACTGAATGAAGCCTCAGAAGGCCTTAAACTCCTTAATATTGTCACTTGTTGGGTATATAACGCGACAAATAACTTCTTCACGCCTTATTGGATATAGCGAATTTTATTTCACATTCACTCTTACAATCACACAATTCACAGATTCACAATTACTGCTATCTGCAGTATTACAATTACTAGACTGCAAATGCTAGACTACAACTGACTGGTTGACTGCCTGGCTAACTCGTAACTGTAACTGCTGCCTTGAGAACTCTTTGCTGCTCCTTATTTAGCCCCGTTCTGGACAACACAGAAAACAGCCACGTAATAGGCACCACTGTTGTCTGGCGCCATGTTTACAGGTGTTACTGGTAACGCTGTTGGGGTTGTTTACAGCTGCATAGCAACTGCGGCATCCCTTGGCCTCATCACCACTGGCGGGGTAACGGTAGGAGTGTTGACTTGCCTGCTACCCTAGTAACAACAGCGCTCCGATGGTGTTACGTCACTGCTGGCAGGGGGAGGGGTGTCCTGCATAGTGCAACACGTCACAATATATTCAACTTCATTTACATTTCTTGCAACTGGTCAGTTATGATGATTACCATCTGAATTTGATTTATGTAACTGGTTTCACATTCTCCTCAGGAGTCATACATGACCAGTAATATCTTGTGGAATGCAACTGAGTAGAGGCAGTTCAGTGAAACCTGAGTTCTGAACTGTGTGAGAGGGGCACAACACTGCCTGCTAGTGACTAAGTCATAGCTCATATCCTGCTGAATAACCTGTAACAAGAATGACACACATGAGATAAATATGTCCAAATTCTATGTCATGTGTGCTATCAATCTCACCATCTTCACAACTAACACCAGAAACTAAAATTTCAACTTTGAGGTCAACTGTGATAAATGATTAAAAGTTAAGCTACTTTAGATCAGCAGCAACCTCAAGAAGAAATGAGATGGGCAGACTTTCCAAAATATGAAATGCTGCTATCAGAAGTATCATGTTTCAGTTTTGTTCACTTTCAATAAAAATTGGGAAAATAGTTCTCTGCAAATCCTTTTCCTTCTTCTTGTTTCTACAATAGCTACACCATCACATTTTTTAAATTCCTATTTTCTCTTGCATTTTATGATCTTTATCTTGAAACAACAAGGTGACTGATGGTTGGAGACAGAAAAGTTACTTTGTTTTAGTATGGTGAACTTCTGAAAGACATGTGGGGAAAAGCTGCTACAAATAAAAATGCCACCGTTGACTTCAAGGAAGTTAGAATTTTGGAGTATGGATTCTCCCTGACAACAAACTACACTGAAGAATTCTCACCATACAAAATATCTGAATTAAGCAGACAAGCTATAAAGAATAAAGTTACTTTACTGACATCTTTGGAAAACATGGAGATAGCACGGAGAATATTAGGTGTGGTAACAGAGAAGAAAATTAGCAAAAGTGAGGAAAACAAGAACAAGTAGAAATTATAGATATCAAAAGCTCTGAATCCAGCTGTTCTTATACCAGTGGCAGGAAGGAAAATGAATTCTTTGAATATGATGAAAGTTATTACCAAACCTTCAAAGAGGTCTAATTAAATTGTCCAGAATGTAACCAGTGGTTGTAAAAAGAATTTGATGTATCTGCCACACTGCAGTCTTTATATGTGAACTTTGAAATACAAAGTACAAAAAAAGACTTAAAAAATAGAGATTTCTATGAATAGCCTCCTTCCAACTGGCAAGACATCACTACCACATAAAGGATTGGGGAGATGGCTAAGTTTATCTTTTATGATTTATTTTAAATTTATACAGCTTTTCTTTTTAGGTTTGTACTCAATATTACCTACCTACAGACTCGGGATAAATACTTAATGCTGTTTCAGTGTATATTTCTTCTGTAACCTCATTTCTTGAAATTTTAGCAGCTTTTAAGAAGCTATGCACATCTTTCCAAGAATTGGTACACAAACCAATCAACTTTCATCAAAGTACTTGGCATGTTCAGTTTAATGTGTATCATTTTCTTGCCTGAAATAATTATATACCTGAAATGTCTTCAGTATGCAGTGCCATATAACCTACATTCATAAACACACTGCAAGTAAAATAAAAGAAGCTTTGTACTTCTTCTTCACACATACCATTTTCATAATTCATAAATATTAAACTTTAACAAATAAATTTTTAAGCATGGAATTCAATATAATTTAATGAAGTTTGAATACATACAAGATAAAATTATATTTTCCAGTTCTTACAATCCTATTCTCTTAGAGACTTACTGGATGGAATTCTTGACGTGGCGAAGCAGTTACAATCTCTTCATGTAACTATATACAGAACCATGAAAGCAAACTTTTTAGTCACAGAAACATGTGTAATATAGTGAAATACCAAACTCATATTCTGTCAAGTTAACTTCTCTGAAACAAACTGAGTTTCTGAATAACTAATACTGTGGTACCAGAACCCAAAGGTTCAATATCATTAATACCAAAGCCTGCCATTGGTCATGATCCAGAGCCAGTTACTATCCATCTTCACAATATACTTCTGTAACATATGTTTTAATGTTATCCTCCTATCTCCTTATGGTCTTCTAAGTGGTCATTTTCCATCAGGTTTCACCAACAAAATTCTGTATGTATTCATTGTCTCCTTCAACATAGCCATATACCTAACACATCAAGGCCACTTAGATTTCCTTACTGAAATACTATGAGACATGTACAAATCCTGATATCCTAAAATGTCCATTTACTTCATAATCCTTAGGTGCACATATTCTCCTCAGTACTACATTTTGAAACACTTGTAATTTATGCTGTTTCCTCAGAGTAAGAGACTATGTTTCACATCATACAAAACAAACAGCAAAATGAAATTTCTTAATAATTATTGGCAAGAAAATTAAATCAGTCTTTTCCAAGTAAATAATTATGGTGAAAACAGCAAGTGTAAAAACTGAAATGATTCATTTTGAACATTATTATTAAATACATTTCTTCACACTGAAATTAGATTCAGGTTGAAATGGGAAAGAGTACATACTCGTACATCTGAGTATTTAACTATAATGAGTAGTAATTTTGTAGAAATCTTGATAGTGTCACATGTATGATTGATTGTATGTGACTATAGATGGGGTTTGAATTGGTGAATGGATTTACTGACCACTTACAGGACGCAGTGCAAGGGCCGAGAAGGCCCACCCCTTATGCATTCATTCATTCATTCATTCATTCATTCATAGTGACCACTTACTCACATGACTTCGAACTACAAGCACTTACAACACTAATCACTGATCTACACACTTTACAAATCACTACACACATGCTAAGTCTTCTCAGTCTGCTTTCACTAGTCGCTTCCTAGTAATGCTTCTTAACAGTGGAGATTCTTCAGCTTCTATGGTCATGCTGTTGCCCATTGGTTAACACTCCACAACTGAAATGTCAAGTTAATTACAACTCCATCTCTTCTTAGCCTCCCTTGCAGAACTTGCAGAACTCAACTGAACTCATTGCTCAAGCTACCTTGGTTATAATTTCTTGGCATGGACCACATAGAAAACACTGTTCTTCTATTGTTGCATTTATGTTTGTTGCCACAGGAATGTGTTTACCAAGCAGTTGCCTAGGAAATGTTGCTGTTTATCCATCTATCTCACAGTCGTTGCATAGCTACTGCTGTACGCACTACAATATAAATTCAAAATTTGTGTATTGAGCAATTCTGAACCAATCTGTTAAAAAATCTGTATATAAATAACATGAGTTAGTCAAATTCTGCAAAAATTACTTCATACAACTATGATTATACATCAAATTCTCCAACACTGTGAGAAATCCCACAAAGTGCTATAATCATAAAATACTTCAATATTTCATTAAATTAATAAATAAGCAACATACTGCATTTCTGTACCTGAACATATGAACTTGGAGAATATTTTTAAAATAGGTGCACTAGAATTATGGCTTCAGCTACACATATCTCTTCAGGCTTAATCAGCAAGCTTTTTAAAGTTCTCACAATCTGTAATTTATGTTTTTAAAATTATGTAATAATGTTTGCATATAGATTAACCTGACAGTACAAGAAAATCCTTTACTAAGCAGAAGATATAAACACTATACATAGTGACATAATATGACTATTTTAAATACTGTTACAAAATCACACGGGAATTACATGTTTCCACTCACGCATGCTTACGCATGGTGAATCTCCAATTTATTGAATCTACATTTAGTGAAACTTCATACTTATTGGCTATATGTTGTGGTCCCAGATGAAGTCCAACATAAACATGTATTATTTCTGTTTATCAGTGAATATCAATTGGTAAATAACCTGCATTTAGTGTAAGAAGTTTTGTTACATTCTAAAACTCATACCTCAATTTAGTGTAATTATGATATGAAATAACAATCAACATTCATGTTTTATCCCTGCCAAATAGTTACCGCACAATCATAAGCTCTGGCAAATGACCTCACATAACTGTGCCTTTTCATTGCAGCACTGCAGCTGTGACTCTCAAATGAGGTTCTTCCAATGATGAATTAATCTGATATTACTGATTATGTAATTGTACTTACTTGTGTACAATTTTTTCAGCTACTTATGAAAAGAAATAATTTATCATATTTTTATATAGTAACTCTTATAAGCTGAACAGTTCCTTGACATAATTTTGCAACAAGCCCCATTTCAAGAAAGCCTTGGTTTAGTGTGAGGGAAGTCATTCTCCCACACTTTCACTGAACAACGGTCTCACTATACTCCAGGATGCAGAGAGATAATACCAGTGGTTTCAGAACAAAGCTGGTTGAATTTCCAAATTTCTAATGATGGTATTAATTCAAACAACATAATGGATATTTTGACAAAACTATGGAACTGTCAGGACTGCATTATGGGGGTCTGTGTACTACAGGTACTGATGTTACACCTCAAAATAATAAACACTGTTCCTGTTAGCCTTCAAATGGATGTCGTACATAAATATAAGACAGAGCTGGTTTGTTTCAGAGACTGATAGACATAGCAAGGTTAAGTTTTACATGGGTAGTTCAAAACAAATTCTTTTCAAAGTGCCACTATAGTAATTAGGACTTAAAATTTATGAAAATAATTTCCAAATATAAAGGAAAAGTTAAAAAGTTTCAACATTATTTAAAACAGTTACTCATACGAACTAGGACATGCCATAGATCAGCAATTAGTTATCAGCTTCACACTGCAGTAGCCTGGTTGAATCCAAGGTCAGGTCCTGCAAGATTTGTGGTGGACAAAGAGGCATGTTTTCTCTGAGTACTTTGGTTCCCCTGAAAATTCTCATTCAAACAAATGCTCCACATTCATTAATCATCCTGTCATTAATGCTATATGGTATTGACACTGACAGCATCATTAAACAACGAGCTTAAAAACTCATAAATTATGCTGCAATTAATGTACATAGAGAACTAGTTTCACTACCATAGTTTTGCCAGTAAATGCTATTTTATTTAACAAACCAAGTGTTTGAAAACTTATTTATGATCAGGAAGACTTGATTTATCTATTTTGCCAAATGTTACTGGGAAACAATATAAAATAATAATTCAATTTTATTACATCAATTATGAATTCATATTAAGGTGATAAAACTGCTTGAGGCGCTGTCTAATATTTCATTTTGGTGTTGTCTCATAGTGCCGAATGGCTATGATTTGTCGATATGAACCAATCCATAAGCCCTTCTGTAGAACACATGACTGCCTGTAATTCAATCGTGAATATGCAGCATTAATTAAAATATTACAATGATGAAAAGATTAAACACAACTTTCTCTTATTGTGTTCAGAAGTACCTATATACAGTATTTCATCAAAGAGAAAATTCATATCTATAATGCTTTTAAACAAATCTGCCTTCAGTTTCAAATAAAGAAAAGTTATCTCAAAATTGCTATGTTTTATATGCAAAATAATTTTTGTCCTTAGTGGTCCACTATACCTGCATCTTCAATATAATCTGACTACAAAGATGACACAGAACATTTGTTTCATATAAGTTACTGTGGTGTGAAAGAAGAATCTGCAATGTCAACATACCGACACCACCAAGTTGTGTTCTTGCAACATTACCACGGCACACCAGCTGCTAAAGTTTCTGTTGTCCTTAATAGCATTTTTATACTAGAAACAGATGTCTCTGTAACAGCAATTTCTTTGTACCGCATGCTTCAAAAGATGACACACATGGAAAAGGGTACTGTTATTAAATAATAAGTTTAATTAGCAGTATGAAACAAACTTGTTACACTGCCATCTGCTGCAGAAGTTCATTACCTAGAACACAAGGTATAAGGGAATGGAGTGTTATCAGCTGGGAGGGATGGTTTTTGCTGTCTGGCCAAATCCCAAGCTTGGCCGAGTTCCAAACCAAGACATCTTCCATTCCAATGTCTCTCGCAGCAGACGCTCTTCTTCTGGTGAGAATCTCAGCAGTGTGGCAACAGCTCTTGTTAAATGCTGTGCCTAAATATAAAAAAAAAAATTGATGTATATTTGTTGCTTTCTTACTCAATGAGAATATCCTAATTAAAGTATTTAAGATAAAGTAATAAGAAGAGAAAATGAGGGTCCTAGGGCAAACAAATGGAAACTTTTTTTAAAGAAGTTTAAAGAAACTTATAAGCCTTCATTCCAAGAATAGGACTAAAATTCAGTCTTAGAAGTTATACTACCAATTAGTGCCTGCTTAAAAACTTTTCTCATGATCACTGAACAGTATGCATAAACAATTCCTAAACTTTCTGTTTTGAAAATCATAGTGCATGGCATAACTGAGGATTTCTTTTACTGTCTGAAAATATTAACTTAAACTGATGTATTTCAAACATTACAATTGGATATCATCTTAAGACCATGCCATAGCTCAGATGGTTAGTTACCAGCTTCCCATCATGGTGGCAAGCATTTAATCATAGATCAGGTGATGTTTTCTTTTGCGTACTTTCATTTGCCTTGCCAACTGTTATGTCACCAAATGCTCCACATTTATTAATCATCCAGTAAGCAATGCTATATAGTCTCAATATTAACGACATCTTTAGATAACCAACTTAAAACAGAAAACACATTATTTTGCATCTGATTAGTGGTTTCATTCTCTTCAAATTCTCCTATGCCTTAGCACATATATATCGGTTGCACCCTGTCATGTTTAGCCAATTTCATCATGTGAATAATGGCAATCCCAGACCAATTTAGAGTTGATCTGATAATTGGCAAGTGCTATGATCACAGCTCGACTGGATGTTCATATTTTTACAGCCTTTGTTTATCAGGTATATTCATAACAACACTGCATATGACAAACTCTACCTCATATTCCCTACTTGTAAGAAACTTGATAAGAACATGCTTCAGGTACTTGAAGTTGACATCATCATCCTCAGTTGTCATTCGGTGATTGGTAACAGGCTGCTGGTGCTGCTTCTGCTGGAGATGTCTACTAGAGCTTGGAGTGAGTACTGCCGCTGGAATGAAAGAGTCAGATTCTGTGGTTCCTGTGCCATGCACACTCTGAGTGGGTAGCCTCAACTCGTGCTGTAGCGTCTTCTTCATGTCACTCAGTCTCTGTTGCAAAACACGGATATTCTGTAAAGCATCAACGTATATCCATGTAGGGATAAATCTATAAGGCTATAAATATGATCAAATAGGTGCAAAATGACAAAGCACTGAAACACATAACAGACTTCTTGTCAACATAATTATCAACAGAAGTTAAATGAAGCAGTTACCTTATTCTTTTCAATAAGCTGTTCTTCTAATTCACTTATGTTATTTCTCAATTCCTGCTCCAAGTTGGCTGCAGCTTGTTTGTCGTGTTCCACCATTTCTGTGTCTTGTACTCGTTTTGACAATTCTTCAGAATCAATTTTCATTTTCTCAATAGCCTATAAATAAAATAACGGAAAAATATAACGTATCCTTTTTATTTTTTGAATGGAAAGTCTGTACTCAATACTTTCACAGTTCCACCTTTCAGAAAAATGGACTTGTGGTTGCTAGATTTAATTTATACTTTATGACGTCACATGAGATGATGTGGTTATAGGGACAGTGACCTCCCACGTTGAAGATTTTGGGTTTGAGACTGACCAATTCCAGTGAAAATTATTTGTATGCCTTTGTCATTCCTTTTTGAATGTGGGCTACACTAGGATTGTTCATGGTTCAGAGTCAATTGAAACAACACTGCAATGAGGCCAACTCTAACAAAGTGTTGCAAGTCCACCAAATCTCACATACACACATGCAACACCACAAAGATCTACGCGTTCACTGCAAACTGGTGTCTGTCTTGTTGCTCACACATGAGAATATAGTGCCTTATGCTAGGGCAACATGGTGCCAGAAATAGTCACACTGTGTTTCTATACAAATACATCAAAACAATGGTTTCGTTCACCATTCTTGTTTCATGCCCCTTTCATTATCATGTCATTTTGGGAACAATGCAATGATACGTAGAAAGTGTAGTGTCATAACAGCTCATCCTAGGTAAACAAATTCCAATACCTGGGACTGGAAACACGTGATCTGCAACAATTTTTTCTTCTTTGCATTCTTTCACATTCTACCAAATAACTGAGGTTTCCTGTAACTCTGCATGTATGGGTCACTCTGAATACATACCAATCATACACAACCTTGTATATATACATACATATAATTAAAATTAGTACATACAATGTCTTTGTGTAGCTGGGATAGCATAGTCTGTATAGTGATTGGCTACAGGCTGGACACCAGGGGGTTAGAGTTCAAGTCCTGGTAGAATCAAGAATTTTCTCTTCTCCACATTGTCCAGACTGGTTCTGGAGCCCACCCAGCCTCCTATCAAATGGATACCAGAGGCTTTTTCCCCAGGGATAAAGCGGCCATGGTGTGAAGCTGACCACTCACATCCAACTAATGTCAAGGTCAAGAAAATGTGGATCTATACATTCACTCCTGCATATGCCTTCATGGCATACTGCTTAATTACTTAAGTACAGGGACAACTTTTACATACAATGTCTTTATTACTATTGGCTGCATGTTGCAGACTGAAAGTGCAATATCGGGCTATAGTACATGTATTTTAATGAAACTACTGTTGATTACTTGCATTGTTAATATTCGTGAATATACTGGTACACTGTGTAATTAACTTAAATTTATAAGCTTATGCATAAAATTATATCAGTTTGTACAAGTCAGTTCACATGTGAGGATATTTGTTCTGTAGCATATTTCCCTGTGTCTCATACTCCATGCAGTAACTCACACCATTTGCTGTTGTGAATATTTGGTGGCCATTATGTTGGTAAAATTCTTTTATATGCACTGATGTTTCAGTTTTCTTTGTTTTACTACTGTAGCTCAGACTGTGTCTTTATTTTTCATTCATGTTTCATTTGGTACTTGTGCTGTTAATTTCGTGGTCTGAAACATATTCATTTGTAATTCTAATATTCTATAAACCATGCCTTGCTGTATATTAACCATCTGAGATATGTATGAATGCTTACGAGGCCCTATAATGATGTTTAAGATCAAAAACATGTAACTAGTAGTTATAAGACACTATATAATTAATGATAACTGTATACAAGGATGACCACCTCTGTGGTTTAGTGGTGAGTTCATGGCTACAGTTCCAGATGTCCTGCGTTCGATTCCCGGTGCTACCAGATTTTCTGAGAAGTAGTGGGTCTGGAACTTGGTCCACACAGCCTTGTGAGGATAACTAAGGAATTACTTGAATGGAAAACTAGTGGCTCCAGTCTAGAAAACCGAAATTGAATGAATGAATGTATAAGGGGTGGGCCTTCTTGGCCCTTGCACCGCGACCTACAGTGATCTATTGTGCCTCCCCTTCTAATTATCCCCTCAACAATCCTGCACTTCGAATGAAGCGCAGGATCTTGTACATGGGGATGTCAAAATAGTCACTTGGTTCTATAAAATATTGACCCAAGTGGCACAATCTCAAACAAGCTAAGGCCTCACATTCACACAGGATATGTGTGGCTGTTTCGTTTTCTTCTTGACACCTCTCACAAGCTGGAATGTTACTTAGTCCCAATTTGAAGACGTGTCCTTCGAGGTGACAGTGTCCTGTAAGTAGTCCTACCACCCATCCTAGCTGGTTCTTGTTTAACTTCAACAGTTCCTTCGCTCATTTAGTAGAGGGTCCTCGTATGAGTCCCTTTGCTTGCCTAAGTCCAGTTAAGGATCCCCAGTATTTAAAAACCGAAATTAATGGCCGTGGGGATCCGTTACGCTGACCATATGACACCCTCTATCCTCTAAAGTTGGCACTTACATCGCCGACAAGCAGTGGGCGCTCGGTTCGTATAGTTCGCTTGCAGACTACAGGCCACGGTGTTTATTTTTTGTTTGTATACAAGGATATGTGTGACAGTGCATGTATGTCCTCTGTATATATAAACAGTGCAAAACACTGCACTTATTTTCTCATGTAAGACTCNAAGCACTACGCCATGAAGGTGTTACACCCGCCCCACACGCTGTACTTCCACGCGGTGTATGCCTAAATTCAGCGGAATGAGTCTTATATCCCAGGGGTACACGGGTGTTGGCTCGCTTACGTCGTTTTTTTGGATGCGGGCTCGATCGGTTAACCCCCTAGCACAGGTTCCACAGGAACACCCTCACTACCTGGCTTCTACTCCCTCACTCCCTGGCTCCCCGGCTTCTACTCACTAACTAACTCCTTACCCCCGCTGCTGCTTCCAGAAACCACGTTCTTAGCCATCTCGAACTTTCCACTGGGAGGTTTTCATGACCAAATACACGGACCCCTTCCGGTCTGCACACCTTCTCGAGCGTTCTCGAAGCTTCGATCCACAGGTCCTCCACCCCCACAGGCACCTACTCCCCCTTGAATGCAATGGACTCACCAACCTCCCCTCTGTCCCTCGCAACAAAAGGCCAGTTCAGAGGACCATGATCCCTCCGGGGCATCTCATTTCTACAGCTAAACTTAACCGTTACTTACAAACAAATAAGACTTTCCGTGAAGGATGCGTACGGTTACAGTAATGAATCAACTGTTACTTCATAGACCATTGCTGGTTGCTGAATACCAATCAACAGTGAAATCCTTTGGACCAGTAAAGCAAGTCTGTGTTTGGGCCTCCAGGCATGTACTGTTATTCTGCTGAAGATACTGCTTATGTATACTTTATTGAAGGAGACTGTCTCCATAAATTACTGAAAATTAATCTAAATCATTACAGACGTTTTAAAAAAAATGGCAACTTTGTATTTGGTAACTCATCTGAAGGGCCCCTATTGTTATAGTCAGAATGTTCATACATGCAGGGCACTGACCTATGACAAACTCCTAATTATCGAATATGAATAAAATCTACCTACTCATTCTGTGTAATGCATACAGGTAGACTGCATACAAAAAAACCACTCTTTTATAATTTTGGATAGGGGGGCACTCAAAATGCATACATATGCCAAAATTTTGGGATCTACTTTTTAACCATCACACTACTTTCTCATAACACTTTGTATGTGAGAAAGTTAAAGGCTGTGTAAGAGTGAGATTCACCAGTGTCATCATGCAAGTTCCAATTACCACAGCGATAAACTGTCAAGCACTAACATGCTGCATGAATGTAAGTTATGTAGTAGATCATAAATCAGCATGTAGTCTTTTGTTTCACTGGAGCATGTCTATTCTGTGAATAGTGATAGTATTTTGATACACACATGGGAAATATAATATACTTATATAAGAGAGACTGTTTAAATTTGACAATTTGTGCTTCTTATTTGTAGGAGATGGCATTAAGTGTACACCTTGATACATCATTTGATTACATGTACTATTGGAAAGGAATATAAGAGAAAATAGTGGAAATTAGTAGTATGAAAGCTTATATAACAAATGATGGGGCATCCCGTTGGATTCTCAACAGAATTACAATAGTGTGTGTATGTGTTGATTAAACGAATACAATATTATGATCAAACATCATGTTCAATAAATATTCTCTGGTTTACTCAGATTTTATCTACACATTAAGTACTCATATAATGAAAGATAAACAGAATAAACAAATACTTTGATGGGACTATACCATATCTTTGTCTGCTAGTATCTTCTCCATTACTATAATTTTATTATGGAGTTCAACAGCTTCTTGTTCCTGTTCACGGAGCTCTTGTTTTGCCAGTTCCACTTGCTGGTTCACTTGAGCATTGCGCAATAATGTTACATCTTTCTCTCCTCGCTCCCGGTTCAGCGAGATGCTGAGGTTAGCACTACGAGTTTGTTCTGCTTCTAGAGCATCCCTCAACTGAGCCAGTTCTAAATGAAGAGCAGTATTGCTGGATTTCTCATCTGAAAACAACAAAAGTTCAAACACTGTTTACTACTTAAATAGGATTCATTTTTCTGATATATAATTTGTATAAAATTAAGATGGAAGTTACTGTTCAATTATATCTTGTTTACTGTATGTGTTAACTACAAGTTGCTAAAACCCCAACATGCTTCAGTCTCACAAGACCATCACTGGGGCTGTTTACCTCATAAAGATGAAAAATTTACAAATCATACACATGAAAATAAATGATAACATTGACTGGGAGTCCCAGGTATTCTAATCATTTAGTTCTACCCCCTTGATAGTGGTCTTGTAACAGTGGAACATGTTGGGGTTTTAGCAACACATAGTCAATATAAAAAATAAAAAGATATACTTAGACGGTAACGTGCATTTTAATTTGATAATATACTAGTGTCCTACACCAAAGGCATTAAGTCTAAAACTCATCTGGGTCTAAAGTGGATCTGCATGCTTGCCAACTTCCACCATCATCTCTGGTACTGTTAAAATTTTGTGAATGGAACAAGCCTCAGATCCCCATGGTAGTTTGGGGGCAACGTTATTGTAAGCATAATAATACAATTTATATCTTGTATCAGAATATAAATATAAATTCATACATCTAGATTTCAACCTCACTGGCATCTGTGAGCTGGCTATCTAGAAAATGTGTGAGCCTTGACACCTCACAACCCTATGGGCCTTCATGGCCTGTTACAGAGATAGTTTTACCTTTTACCTTTACCTACATTTCTTCGGCTGATCACAAATCAAAGGCAATAATTGGCGTGGAACCGAACTTCATGTAGACAGCCAAACTTGTTGAAAGCAGTGTCTTCTGGGATACAGCAACATTTAGTCTACTGAAAGTCAACTGTCATTTGGAAGGAACATATCACCTCCATCTTCAGGGTCAAAAGAGTCAAGCAAGATTCTAGCATGAAAGCAGGTGGAACGATAAGTGATTGGTAGGCTGGAAGTTTTGGATTATATAGGAAGCAGGAGGCAAATGGAAGAGTGGACCTCAATTCCTATGGGCTTGCCACAGGACAGAATGAAACCACGTGACTCTCCTATGACCACCGAATGAACCCATAGGCGACACAAAGACAACTTATGAAGCTCTGAAAAGAGGCACTTCTGATGGTCTTAGAAAAAGACACTGAAAAAGTTTTTGGGTCTGTTGGGAAGGGAACTGACATGTAAGGGAGAGTGGTCAAGTGAGTAAGTCACAGACAAGGAGTGGGAGATGAGAAGAGGTAGCAGAAAGAAGTTGGGACGTCAGGGCGGAGGCTGGTGAGCGCCCTCAAAGGGCATACCTCTGCTCCCTAATCACCCACTGCATGCCTGCAACTCACTCACTTGACCTCTCTCCCTTACACATTGGTTCTCTGCCCAACACAACCTTCCACCTTTTCCATGTCTTTTTCTAACCCAGCAAAAAGTCCCTTTTCAGGGCCTCATAACACATTCTTGTCTCCTACTGGTTCACTCAGTTGTTGTGTGAGAGACCAATGGTTTCCTTCTGTTCCACGGTAAGCCCACAGCAACTGAGATCCACTCTTCCATTTCCTCCTGCTTCTTACATAATCTGAAATTTCCAGCCAGCCAATTATTCAGCTTGCATATGCTTTCACTCTGACACACTGATCGGCTTAATCAACCCTGCAGATGGAGTTGATACATTCCCCTGAAATGTCAGTTAAGTTTCAGCAAATTATACAGCGTTATATCCCAGTTGACAGTACTGTTCATAACCACAGCTGTGAGAACTTCAAATGCTACTTGTTCAAAGTACTTGATAGTAGAATATTAAATAACAGGTCATTATTTGAATTTTCCCTCAGGCCTCATGGCCTATATGATCATGTGGATTCACCTTGTATGGCTGTTATAGTCATGATTGTATCTAGACAGTCAGGAACTGTCTGTTAGGATTATACTGGCTAGTGAGTAACCACATTAACAACCGGAGGTGACTCTGTAATCAGTAACAGTGCACTATCACTATATCTCAATCAGATGTTTGTTATATACAAACATGTGGTACAAAATTTGAGATACAAAACAGCATGTACATGGAAGCATCTGTCATATGGCCACTGGAAAACAAATGAAGGCAGAGCAGAACTCCTACCCTATGGCCTGTATAAGTATTACCTGTTATCTACTGTTACATACCTTCAAGAGCTATACTGATATGTGCAAATTCTGTTTCCACTTCCCTCAGTCGTTTTTCAGCTTCAAACAGTCGAGTTTTAACACCTTCATTTTCGTTACCAACTAAAACCTAAAACAGCAATGCAGGAACATATAATAAACTTCTGTTGCAAGCAATAATTAATCAATCACAATAGTATCAAGCTATTTCACCTGTCTTCATTTACCTTAATCTTATTCAACGCTCTTGGTATATTTATAAAAAGAAGGTACTTTTCCAGTCTTGCAATGACATGCTTCTTAACATTCCTAACAAAATTATCTTACTACATGGAGATTAGTAACAACTGGCTTGGATTTTCCATGCAAGATACATACCATTTTGCCTTAAGACCAAGCATCAGGGTGAGGTTTAAACTGCTTCACAGCTGATTACTATCACAACCATTAGAAAACTGTGCCAAAAATATTAAACAAAAGTACAGCATTCATTCAACATTTTTAAGCACAAGCTTTTATTAAAACAAATATCTTCATTCATCCAACAAAAATAACCATGTAACATAATTAAGGAAACAATTATTGGTGGATATACCCAACATTTGTACAATAATGCAAACAGTAAATGAACCCACAAACCTCATGCATTCAGTTAGTATAAACCAAGGCATGGGAGATAAGTAGGAATAGGCCACATATCAGCAGTTACTGTAATAAAAATAATCATAATTTAACAGGCAGTGTATACACACAATTTACCATTACACAAATGATAAATCTACTTCTAACAAAAACAAAATATTCACTGTATTAACTTTGAATACAATTAAAAAATGAAGTTTGCATTCCAGTCTCTATCCATTATCATAATAATTCTTACAAGCCACTGCATCATTGTCACAATCATCAGTAAAAATCTATAAACAGATTTATGGAAGATCAAAAATAGGTTTTTCATGTTCACTGTGGTATTTTATTAACTTTCACAATCAATTCAGATAGTGGTCTTCTGGGTTGTGACACCGTGTAGTCTTCCTGGTGGTCGCCAACATTTCAGGGATGAAGAATGTGGTGAGGTTATTAGGCAAGGTGATCAAATCCTCCCCTAATCACTTTGACCCTGGAGATGGAGACACAACATTCCTCTGAAACACTGGTATCCATCTGTGAGATTACACAGTGTTATAACCTAGAAAACTGCTATCTAAAACCCTCATCTGTGAAGACCTGAAAATGTATTTTTACAATGAATACATCTTAGCTTGTTCTTCAGCCAAAATTCAATCTTAAAACACTGGCTTATAAAGAGTGATATAATAAACAGAAATTAACAGCTTATCACAAAATCTTGCCTCTGGAACAAAATAATGGAAACAAAAATTGGAAAAAGACAATCTGAGTGTCATGAAAACACAAATATTTTTAGATACTTTCATCAGAATCTTAACATTGGTAGAAAAATAACTCCACTCTCTTCTGAATGAACTGTTAGGAAAGCAATGTGTATGTTTAACCCATTCCACAAACAATCTGAAATAACACTAGACTTCATTAACTTGTAACAGTATGACCATTTTAATAAAACTGTCATAACTTCAGAACTATCAGTATATCAGTAAATAAGAACACTACGTTTTATGAACTTGACTGTAAAGATTAAATTTAAACATATTTAGAGTATTTGCTTCCATAATTTATCTCAATTTTTTTCTTCTAGCACATTTTCTCCAACAGTTTTTTCATGGCAGTTTGCTCTGTGTAAAGACAAACTATCTAGAACCTTGGGTCCTTTCCTCCCACACATTAATGTACATATCTGAGGAACCGAAAATTCCAGGAGCATAGAGCAGAAAAGTTATTCAGAATATGTAATAACAGTATTGCAGGAAAACAGATGAAATGTTAATGTATTTTAGCAATTTCAGGAATACAACCAATCCTGTATTATTTCTTGTACAACTGTACTTGCTTCTCACTATTTATAATAATTTTTGAACACACTATCATAAATTCTCTGCATATTTCTCTTTTACCAGTTTCAGACTTAACAATTTGGAAGATTAGGGGGGGGGGGACCTCCGTGGCCTGTAGTCCAAAAGCAAACTATACCAACTGTGTGACTGCCGCTTGCCAGCGAAGTTAGTAGCCAAGGGAAGAAATTATATTAGTCAGATATGGTACACTCTGCTAAGGAGTCAAAATATAAAATGTACAGAGGCCTATGTCAACTAACATCTGTGCAAACAAATATAAAATGGTCTGAAGTCTTTGACCAACATTTCATAATCAGAGATGGAAAAGATTCAGGTCTATACCAAATGATGCCAGATCTTAATCATCGGTATATTAACATGTCTGGAATTATCATGGCCAAACCTAGGACAACGTTAAGATTTTCTTCTGATATGAATGGGTTAAGAGATAAAACTAACATAATTATAATTAAGTCATTTAATCAAGCAATAAATTTAATTAAGCGATGAGGTGGAATGGGATTTTATCCATTTTTATATTTAATAACAATTCAATTCATTAACAGACTTCTATTTAAATTATTTCATTTCAGAGACAATGTCAGATTATTGTAATGCACAGGTACTACAGTCAAAAATCCTTTGTAAAACATATGTTTGTCTTAATCATGTTCACAGTGAACATTCAATTTTGTAGATACCAGCTTCTCTAAAGTACAGCTACATGCGAGTTTCTCAAACTCACAATTTCTTGCTGTAGACTGCCTACTTCCTGGTCCCTCTTAGTCTCCGTATCTTTCAGTTCCTCTATAAGCTCATCTCTCTCTTTCTTTAATCTGTCTATTCTATCATCCTTCTCCTTTGCTGCAGATTTTCCCTTCTCAACAATAACTTCTAGAGCTTTGATTCTCTCCATCAGTGCATCTCGTTCCTGTTCTGCCCGTCGCCTCTCTTTTCCTTCTTCAGCAGCCTGGCGAGACAGGCGTCCAACTTGAGTTTCAAGGGATAATATCTTTCCACTCCATGAAGACTTAATTTCTAAAAGGTGTAGATGGGCTTCTTCTAGCCTTCGATCTAGTAATCTTCGTTCACCCAGTAATGCCTGAATCCGATCATTCACAGTTAATTCTGCGCCCAGATTAACACATTCTGCATTTGTCCTCTGTTCAAGAACGGCCACTCTGTCCTTAAGGTGCCGAACTTCTTCTTCACTTTGTGCCAATTTGCCAGACAACTGAAAACATTCTTGGTCTGACGAGTGACGCAAAGTCTCCAAATCATCCTGCATGTAACAGAAAACATGTACAGTAAGTGACTTCACTTTATTGCTTACTTCACAGTACATTATGAAATAACAGTAAACATAACAAAAAATCAGGAAAATATTATTTTCATAAAAATAAGTTATTTAAATAATGAAACAGAACACCACAGTTGCATTAAGCATATGGTCCCCCCAAAAAACAAATGTACACTGCTCACAGACTACAACTGTCAATAAGTACACAATAACTACACATGCATTAGCGCATAATACAGTTCAGCAAAGAACATCTAAATTGCAAAATGTTCTGAGAAGTGTGTGAGGTGGTAAAGCATCTGGATCAATATTTGAAACTTCTGAAGTATTTTGTTCACAAGAGATATACAGTTTTGAGCAGAGTTCAATAAAGCTTATTTTACTATCCCAGAAACTTCAATTCCTACAAATCTTGTGTTATATCATAGTTAGGTAATGTTAGTTTATAATCCAACAGTAAAATGCAATTTAGTTCATGGGTTAGTGTGGCAGGCTCTTAAAGTGGATCAAATGAAATTTTGGTCACGAATGTCCTTATTTTATTTGAAACTTTCATGGCAACAGTACACATCATAAATAAACATGAGAATTCCATCAAGTGTAACTAGTTTAATAAGAGTAAGCAAAGTTTTGCCTTTTTACCCATTACTGGCCACCACCACATGGCATAGTCAACACTACAAATGAACTGTTTTATGTTTTGTTTTTTGTAGATAGGTTATTACTATAAGGGGCTTAGAGTAGTAGAAATCAAGACCAAATAGTTAATACAGTAAACAGATGTTGTATATATCAGTTAAGTTAACAAGTCTTGTTGAGTTAACAGAAAAATATAACACCCAAAAAGCAGAGGAGATCACCACTGCCAGGCAACAGCAGTCAACATGTTACTGAGATTCCTATGCAACAGCCGTTATCTATTATTATCTATATATAGACAGTTCTGAATGTTTCTACTAACCAACTTTTCCTATTTTGAAAAAGAAATATTAGTAAGCTTATGTGATCACCTTGCTCTGTATCAGCATGTGTATCTCCCATTTCTTTGCTAGGCAAAGGCTTAGTAAACACACTCCCGCAGCAATGAATATGCATGCAACAATACAAGAATTGTTGGATGCGTTGTTTTCTATGCGGTACTTGTCATATCAGTGTAAAGTAGGTGATTTGTTCTTTCCAGAATTTCTTGGTCTACTTGTATCAAATATACAAACTGTAATGGAAGTAAAGCAGGCTATTGTTTCTTGTATGAAATGCTTGTAATTTACATGTTTTAACGTGTGATTCATTGGATTTAATTTGATTCCCAATTTAATATCGAGTTTTGTCATTTTTCATGAATTGTGAAGCAGTGTTCTATAAAAATTTTTACAAGCATTACGTTTAAATATTTTGATTTGCAACCATCACAAGTGTTACAACAACTACAATAGTCTTGAAGTATATGTAGTTTTGATCAAGATGCTTTACTGCACGTAAAATAGCAACCACACTGGGAAAACGTATTCAAATATGCTGGGTGGGGTGACACAGAGTCCAGTTGGTAAGCCAGACACTATTAGGCCTATTGTACTAAACCAAGATGACAGATCAGAGAAATGAAGCATTTGTTAGAATGGTTAAAACCTGCCAATGTCATTTTATCCACCACAAATCCCACATGACCTAACTGGGCACTGACCTGGGCCACTGTAGTAAGAAGCTTGTAACCAGCCACCTGAGCTATGACATGGCTAGGGAAATATGTTAGTATGCTACTAAGAACAAATATCTTTTTTATCTCAAAACACCCACAAACGAGCAGAAAAGTAAATTCATCCACATACCTTAAAAGATTGTCTATAACAGCTTCAGCCCATTTTCAGCCAGTCTTCAAAAAGCCACCACTATTCTGCCCGCAGGAAATGGCAATCCATGTAGTACTGATTGCTGCTGATTAGGACATGTGAAGGTGTGTGTTTGGGGAAAACACAAAGCCAACAAATCCACAAGCAAACATGTGCTATTACAATAAAAAATCATCCGTGCATACTGAGGTAAAACCAAAATCAAACATAAAACATTCATTTTTAAACAGTCCAACAAAATAAGCAAGGAACAATCAAGAAAGGACCTAAATACAAGAAGTTACACATATTAAATTAAAGATGCTTTATGTACTTAATATTAATGCAAATATTAATGATGTGTTCCAAATTAAGCATTGATAAGGTAAATTTGTCCCTGTGAATAATTAGTTAAGCACTATGCCATGAAGACATGTTGGGGTGTGGAGGTATAGCTCCACCATTCTGGACTCTGGTACTAGATGAAGGCGAGTGGTGAGCTTCATGCACCTGTCACTTTACCCTCAGGGAAAGAGCCACCAGTAGCCATTGGACTGGATGCTGGTTGGGCCACAGAGCCAATCTGGACACTGTGGAGAAAAGAAATATCTTGCACTTCTGGGAATCGAACCCAGACCATCCAGCCCATAGCTATACTGACCGAGCTATTCCGACTCCTACTGAACACTGACAGCTGAACATTACTCTGACAATGCACCTGAATATAAAATTCACACCTGATTATTAACCAAGCATAGCAGTGAACTGGAACACTGAACCTCTTCTGTTTCATTGACTGGGAAAAGAATATAATTTCATAGGACCAGTCCCTTGCTTGTCTCATAGGTAGATATGTAGCTACTTGTAACAACCAAAACATGTTTATTTACAATAATAAAATCTTTATGTAGTATTAAAATTGATGAGACACTGTAACACACTGAACACATTCTAAGCATGTTGGATATATTATATCAATCCACTCTGAAATGCAAATTATTTAGTCACTAAAGCAAAACAGATCGCTAATTATGAAACCGTGCATTACAGGATGCTAACACTTATTGAAGTTGTGGTTAATGACCTAGGCATTATTGTAGTCAAATGAATGCTTATCTAGAAGTGCATGCTTTTAACTGGTACCCTCATTATCACTATAATGTTTGTGTCACACACAAAAAGTGTGGTTATCCCTTGTGAACACTGCTGTTACTTCTTCTTTCAGTCTCCTCAAAGTACTGTGAAAATGTTTCTCAGCACACAGACAACCTAACAAAATAATTACAAAAATGCATACATATATCATGTACTTCAAGATCCTACAAAAACTTCCTGAAAGCCATATCACCGCTGTTTGAATGTGGACATAAATTCTGACATGGAGAAACTGACACTTGTTCATGTCTCAATAGTTTTAATTCACTTTGTCAAAAATACAATCCTGACATTTCACCATTCACCATATGTTAATGGTAACTAGCTTCTGGCTGAGGAGCTTGCAGTTATGAACTGAACTTAAGCCATCTAGGATAAAGGAAGAATCCTTACTGTGGCAACATATTTTTTTTTAACTAAGTTCCTTGTTCAGACATTACTGGAGCAGTTTATAAATAACTGGACCATCAAATACAATTCTTTAAAATCGGTATTAAAATAAAACCTACATGCCTCATGATTAATTGATATCCATATTACATCCTAATTTTATTCTAAAATATTATATTTAAAATATTGAAGAATAATTTAATTTGAATAAATGGATTAAATTGTCTTTGGTTTGTCTTAATAACTACATACAACATAAATAATATGTGGTACATGAGCCCTATAACTCGGTAGACCAAACAAAGAATTACATCACACAAAATGTTTTGACAGGTTCATTATATCATACCAAATTACACAATTCTGATTGATGAAATGGTTCATCAGTTATCACCTGTCAGTAAATATTTATTCTGCCAACTGTCACATCGCTATTTTATATCCTAAAAGATTAAGGAATATACAGAGAGGTTCATTTCTCCATTTGTGGTCTTGTTACTACTGCCTATTTGTACAGTGGGCTGCCAGCTAACAGGCAGCTTCTTTCCAGTAAGACCATAAAATGCTATTGCATGGGTCTAATTGAAGGTTCCATCTAGGTACAACAAATATTTTTAGTAAAGCCAGTTTACTTACCTGATATTGCAGTACCTATTGAAAACTGTCATCTAAAATCAAAGCACAGTCACACAGATAAAATTCACACACATTCCAATCCAGAAAATATAATATCAGTCATGCCATAACATAAAGAGCAGCTACATGAAGTGTACGGTTCATTTCTCTGAATCCTTGCATGTTTGTTCCTGTGACCAGTGAACTGTGCATGTCCTGTGTTTGTTGTGTCCAAACAAAGTGAGTTACACTACTGTACTACTACTGAGAAGTAATTTCAGTAGGACAGTGCACCAGCAAACATCACAGAATACCCAATGCTGACTTGATGGGCTGTGTATAATGAACAAAAAATCAGTGAAGGACTATAGTCATCATGTTCCCAGGATCTGAATACATATGCTTTTATCTGTGGTCCAACATGAACCAGATGGTCTACATAAATAATAAAAACTTTACAGATCACATTCTGAAATGTTATTCCAGAAATCACAAACTGTGACCTTCAATATGTCACAGAATATCTTATACCAGTTTGAAATGTGCTTGGATGTTGGAAGACACCATTTTTTGACAACTCCTTTAATATCAGGAAATCAAAGTGGCTCTACTGAATACATTCATCAAGCACAGATGGCATCTTCAATCAGATCCATGTGGTAGCATGTTAATGTTGTATCAGAAAGAAGCCACCCAACAGTCTGCATCTTGCTCCAAGAACCGGTGGTAATAAGGCCTCAAATGAAGGAAAGAACCGTGTGCGTGTATGTGTTTGTGTGTGTCACACCAAGTTGATGTTAACAATTACATCAGGATGTACCTGGTGGTAGGAATCTGAGGGAACATGTTCTTTCAAAAGACTACAAATGTAAGACAAGCTTCTGTCAGCTAGACAGAATAATTATGCAACAACGTAACACAGGAATGCAGCAGCTGGTTCATATTCATTGCAGCCTCAATATTATAAAAAATTAAATATAATACTCATGTAATGTAGGAAAAATACTGCGACATGATGGGTGAAAGCCAGAATAGTGGAGCATAAACACACTCCCTCAGTGATGGATATGAAAGCAACAAAAGAAGAACTGTTGGAATGTGGTCCATGTCAAGGTTATGTAAAGAGGGAAATTGGGAAAAACTAGCCAGTCATAAGCCTGCAGCTGGGAACTGACCGTCAGTCAGGAGTTGGAAGTTGACAACTGGAGGACACAGTCAACAGTTACCAGCCTACAGTCTTGAATTGCATTGTTATATGCCGTTACCGAGCAACGACTAGTGAAGACACAGAAGACTTGGTGTTTGCAGTAGTGATCTGCAGTGTGTGTAGATTAGTGAGTCATAATATTATTTGTAGTTACAAGTTATAAACATTCAGTAAATCAAGTTAAGAATCCAAATCTCATGTCTAGTCACTAATGCATGATGATAATGTCTACTAAAGTACTTATCAAGCTTTTGACATTACGGTCCTGTTCAAGAATGTCTCCAGACTGGTACATAATAAGGTTACTTATTAATGAAATTAATTACATTATGTCACCAATGTAAGATGTCAAAACCAAATAATGCTATGATATAACAAATTTTATTGTGATGCATGTTCAGTTTAAACAAAAACTGAATGTTTCTTCAATGTTAAACATATGACAATCATAGTCCATTTATTCAAATAGTTCATAGATCACAATAGAAAAAAAAAAAGGACCGTTGACTGGCAGTGGTCCATGGCTCAGTTTTAGAAGCATGCGTTAATTTAATGAAAGCTTATTTTACAAGTAATCAAATATGACATTGCTCAACAGAACTATAGCAAAAGAGCTTAAGTTCATAGCCACCTCAAACAGCACATTTTACCATACTTTCCTATCTTATGGAAAGAAAGTGGACTTATGATATGATCATGCCATCAGATTGTGTATGTCCCTGTCTTTCACCTTTCGTACAGTAAACCAATTTTTACAACACTCAGTATGAATGTTGCACCATTAGAGACCACCCCAGATATACTTTCCTGCACTCAATAATAATGAGGCAGAAACTCGAATTTGTGAGGTGGAAGCAACATTAATGCCCCTTCATTCTATTTTCAAAACATCAGCTCTTATTAAAGTCATTCTTTTGTAGAATGTATGATAACAACATTAATATCATGTGAAAATTTTCTTTCGCTTTTAGTTTGATGGTGAAAAGTAACACACCACTGGAGCTAGACATGTGAAATTTGGTACAGAGATAAATCATAAACATACCTACACACTAAATGTTAAAAACTGTTTGTAAATCAACAATTACAAACACGGTAACAATGTGAAACCTTGAGTTTATATATGAAAAATTTAAACAGACTTTATATGTAAGTAATATGTAAAAAAAAGGTAAAGTTGTCTGTGTGCTTAACTAATTAAGCACTACACCATGAAGGTGCGTGTGGGAGTGGATGTACAGATCCACATTTTCTTGACCTCAGCACTAGCTGGAGGTGAGTGTTCAGCTTCACACCCCTGCCGCTTTACCCCCAGGATGTAAGCAATAAGTACTTTATAAAAAAGAAATAACAGTACTGGAGTAATAGATCTGTATGATTAGAAATCTACACCATAAGCATACAAACTTTAAGAGTTCTAGTAGATTCTAAAGGGTTCTGATGATAGTGTATAATACTTAGAATTACTGGGTTTTGGACTTTTTCCATTGTCTGGTATTCTAGCAACTAGGAAACATGACATTTCGGAAACTGAATGTTTCCGTCTTCAGGTGAGGAGGGCGAACACATGTACTTAGTTGGGTCCCTTAGGAAGTGCTAACCTCAATCACTGGACAACCCATCAGAATAACACAGCTATTTAAACACCTGAAACCAGGCTAATTTGGTGGAATATAACAAGTCTCAAGTGTTTATGTTTTAGTCCACAGAAGGCGCTAGTGGAAGATACTATAGGTCTTCACAAAATTTTTTCATTTCTTTGCATTGGTGCTCATGCACATGTTTTTTTTTTTGGCTAGGTCTGTAGCACAAATTTCTACCTCCTTTTCTATCCTAGTTCTATGCATGCGTGTCTTCTATCACAATTTTTACTGCATATTTTCTTGCTATCTCCCATGGAATTAGCCTGGTCTCAGGTGACTAAATAGTTGTGTGAATCTGACAGGGGTTGTCCAGCGAATGAGGTCAGCTCTTTCTAAGGAACCCAACTAAGAATGTGTCTTCCCCCCACCTGAGGACAGAAACAGATCCAGTTTCTGAAACATGTTTTCTAATTTCTAGAATACCAGATGATGGATAAGTCCAAAAACCCAGTAATTCTGAGTTTCAAGAGTTCTACTCAGAATGTCATGTTTTAAGTAGGGTTTGCACACTTGCTTTTTGCTTACTGACAATGTTTCCATGAACATATTAAGAAAAAATCTAGATCCTGTTCCTTTATTTGCACGATGCACAAAATGCACAGTGGTGTATAAAAATTACAATCATCACACAATGTGAGGTGTGAAAGACAACAATAACCCACACAAACAAACAGCAACACATAAAAACCCAGAGAAGTCATAACTGTGCAGTAACACTGTAATTTGACCATTCTCCCAAGCATGGAAAAACAGTGGAATTCATAACAAGCCTTCAGTGCTTTAGGTACTTACAAATACTTGAGATTAAGTTGTGCTTCAACTACCCCCCCCCCAAAAATAACAAATTTAACATTACAACTAAAAAGAGAAATGGGACACTCTTCTTTTATTGTGGAAAATTACTTGAATGTGTTATTTCATCTTCTGAAACACTAAACAATACTGACTTGAAGTATAAAACTTCAGGCTGCACTGTACAGCTCTCTAGTTAGGTAGTTAATTAGTTAGTTAGTTAGTTGGTTAGTTCACGAATCAGTTGCAAAGTCTTTCAGTTCTCAGTTCAGTACAGTGCAGAACAACTCAGACAAGCGGAGTGAGGGTAGTACTGCTACCAATGGTGCTGCCGTGAAGTAATGAGTTAGCAGAGAAGCAATCTTAAAAGTATATGTGATTATGGTTGGTGGGACACTAAGTGCTCCAAATATCAATTATTGCCTATATTATATGAGATCTGCTTAGAAAGAATGATGCAGTTACAGAGATATATTCTAGAATTATTTCAATAAAAGTATAAAATGCTGTTTGTCAATTAAAATGTGTTATCTAATTACTGCAAAGGGAAAAAAAACACCCCAGTGATAAAAAGAAAAATTAGATTATTTTTGGCTACCTGCAAGTTTGCAAGTTCTTCTTCATAGTGTCTAAGTCGAGTGACTTCCAACTTCAAACTCTCTATTTGACTAGAGGCCTCTTTCAGGGCATCTGCTTTCTCTGCTACTTCTTGCTCCTTTACAAGTAGCTGTGCAATGAAATAAAAAAGAGGGCTAAGAAAAGAATGTAGAATTGTTGGGTTTTGATGATAACCACAATCTAATCACTTAGTTATAGCACAGCCTTTGTTAAAAAAAAACTCCAAAACCAAGCTTTACTCTTACACAAACAGATTTCCTTCAGTTATAAATAAATGTGTTACTGGGTTAAAAACAGAATGAAGCTCCATAAAAGGTACCAGATTTACTTCAGCAAGCAGAATCATAAAGCCTACCTACCAAATGTTTAATCTTTGCCATTTCCTGGGTCTGCAATCCTTCCAGCTGCTCAATATCCTCTTGATATTGGATAACTTTCTTTTTATATTCTGAAAGGAACGAAAATTCATACAGCTTTGAATAAATCACAGAACAGATGCCAAGATATTAGGTAAGCTCTTAAGGTAGAAACACACGAGAAAAACTTATAATGTTAAGAATGCAGAGGTACGAGTATGTTATACATTGGCATTCAACATGATTCTCCTGCAAGTCTCAAAATGAAGATTGCAAAATACTACTGGGAAACCCATGGATTAGTGGAGAGACAAAGATACAGAAAGTAGGGAAAATGCACACATATAGACAAAACAGGACTCCATATGGGGGCGCTGAAAACATGAAAGATGCCATGTAAGATTTGAGGCTTTCACGACGGTGACTATGAAGAAAGCAGTCTTCTGGGATTTGGCACCGTGTATATGTGGTGTTAACCGACGTTTCGGAGGAACGTATAGCCTCCATCTTCAGGGTAGAAGAAAAAATATAAGAAATCTGCAAGCGAAGAGACCGTGAGAACCGGTAAAAGCAGACTGTGTTTGAAATATACATATGGAGGCATATGGACATATACATATGAAGATGGAGGCGATACGTTCCTCCGAAACGTTGGTTAACACCACATATACACGGTGCCAAATCCCAGAAGACTGCTTTCTTCATGAAAGATGCCGTAAGACAACACACCCTGGTGGAAATATTAAAGGATGACAGTGCTGACAATAATATTGATGTAATGACATCTGTTCATGTGTGCATGTTACACCAATTATCTCCAAAGCATAAAGGCATTTAGCTACCACTCAGTAATCTTATTCCATTTAAAATGACACACATTCAACCAAATGATCAATAACTCCATGCACGCTAACATACTTCATTCAGCAAGTGGAAAATTTCCAGCTAGATAATTAATGGAACCCATTCTTGGCTACATCCTTCTGTTCAATCACTGAATGCGAAACTGACTGTAAGAATTAAATATTTATCTCTCACCCACTCATGGAGCTGAGCCCTTCTTGAGAAGCCACCAACTGTGCAGCTTCTCAAGAACTTCTTAGCATTTTATAGAACACGAAGGCTCATTACTGTGTTCACAAGAGCCCTCCACTGGTCTCTATCCTGATCTAGATCAATCCAATCCATACCATTCCATCCTATCTCTCTAAGATCCCTTTAAATTATGTTCACCCACCTACGCATTGGTCTTCCCAGTGGTCTCTTTCCTTCTGGTTTTCCCACCTATATCCTACATGCATTCCTCTTCTCTCCCATTTGTGTTACAGGCCCTGCCCATCTCATCCTCGACTTGATCATTCTGCTTATACTGGGAGAAGAGTACAAGTTATGAAGCTCCTCATTATGCAGTTTTCTCCAACCTCCTGTCACTTCATCTCTCTTCGATCCAAATATTCTCAACACCCTGTTCTCAAACATCCTCAGTCTATGTTCCTCCCTTAAATTAAATATTTACAGAAGTGAAAGTTACAAGGTCCATACCAAAAGGTGATTGGCAGCATCAGTTTGTGAATCTTTTATTAACATAACAAAAATTGGGGTTATACAGCCAATATCTGTACGTTTTCTGCACTCTGAAGTACAGGTCCAGTACATGTACACCAATAATTATCCATAATCCATTGCAACAGAATGATGTAGCCCTTAGTCAACATGCTGTGATTGAATTCCTTATAAAGGAAAACCGTTCTGCTGCGAACATCTTTAGGTGAAACACATTAAAGATGGCAACACAGACATTGCCAATCTGCCTCACAGCAGTCACATATGAATTTCCACCACACACGCAATGAGCAAGAAGTTCATGAACTCATCATAAAGTACCAAAGTGTGATAGTAGGGAAATGGCAGCTAAGCTTGGCACTGGACACAATGCAGTGAAAGTGACCTGATGTTCATGTACTGCAGATACTTCCTTACTGAAAGTACAAGACCCATTCCATTACAATTCATATGTCCCTGAATAAAATCAAGGATCAGCCATCCTCTATCAGTTCTTTTATAGATTTATTCAGCTCTTACAAGTGACTTCCTGTACTATTAACTTTCCCTTGAAGTTAGTTTCAGGCTGAGGCAAAAGTTATATCATCGCTTCCAAGTCTATACGAATTGGAACACATTTAAAAGAGCTACTTATTTTTTTAAAAACTGCAATATACATTGTGGCCTGCTTTAAAAAAATAGTAAAATACTATCACAGGGATAAATAATCTGTATCCTGAATTTAGGAAATGGAACAACAATTTTGTAAGATTTGAGGCTTTCACGGCGGTGACTATGAAGAAAGCAGTCTTCTGGGATTTGGCACCGTGTATATGTGGTGTTAACCGACGTTTCGGAGGAACGTATAGCCTCCATCTTCAGGGTAGAAGAAAAAGTATAAGAAATCTGCAAGCGACAAGACCGTGAGAACGGCAGTCTGCTTTTACCGTTCTCACGGTCTTGTCGCTTGCAGATTTCTTATACTTTTTCTTCTACCCTGAAGATGGAGGCGATACGTTCCTCCGAAACGTCGGTTAACACCACATATACACGGTGCCAAATCCCAGAAGACTGCTTTCTTCGAACAACAATTTTATTCAGAAATCAGTAAGTTATTTTATAGTACTAAATCACCTGCTGTGACTTTACTCTGAAGATCTGGCTGTGAGTTAAAGGCAAGCTCTATGCCAACAGTTATACCACAGTACATCTCCGTACATAACAAGCTATGTTTTGAAACCAGGTTACTACATGGTTTTTCAGGGCTATATAACATCATTAAGCTTGACTAATTATGCATTTATACTACTTATTTTTTTTCAGGCATAGAACATGGACCTTAAGAAAAAGCATAACCTACCATCAGCTGCTTTTAAGGCTTCTTCAAGATTTAGTTTCTGCTGTACAATTTCTCGTTTCTCTTCCTCCAGAGCAACTTTCTCTTTTTCAAGCAGTTCTATCGATCTTCTCCAGTCTCTCTGCTTTTCTTCCACTTGTTTTTTCCATTCTTCTTCTTTCTTTTCCAGTTTTTTGGTCCAGTCCTCCTCCACTTTTTGTAATTTTCGCCTCCATTCATCTTCACGCTTTTCAAGCCGTTTTACTTCTTTTTGGTTAAGCACCTATAATTTAAACACATTTTTGTACATAAAGAAAAGTAGTATGTGTGTGCATAAGTAAGTACCAAATCATTAAGATGTGTGGGGAGTAAAGGTATAGCTCCACATATTTCTGACCTTATCACAAGATGGACGTGAATAGATGGAGGTGAATAGTCAGCTTCAAAGACTTTTCAAAACTTACCACTAGTACTCCTTCTCTAAAGAAAAATGACTGCTTGCTGTTTCTAATATTAGCTGCAGTAACAAAATATATACACATCTTCATCAAGAAGGCCTACAAAATTAACTTATAAAAATACACGTAATCTCCATATTGTGCCCAGCTTTAGGCATGGCGAAACACTCAGATCCTAAAATCATCCTTGTTACTAAAACTAAACTTCTTTCTTCTGTTGACTACTGAGTATTGTGTCTGGGGTGAATTCGTGATCAAAGATTTGATTGTGCTGTGCTGTGAGGTCAGATCTGTTGCACATATCAAGAGTAATGGTAGATTAGCATAAGAAAACGGTGGAATAAAGACACGCAGCAGAAAATGAAAGGGTTAGAAAAATATCCTAGTCCATCCTGACATGGATTACTTTGAGATTAAATCTAAAGATTATTGGTGGTAACCAGAATCTGACCACTTCAGTTATGGCATGGCCTTTAAGAACAATTCCAAAACCAAGCCTTATGCTTACACAAATTCATATTTGTGTATGATTTTAAAAATGTGAGTTGTTTCACTCACAAAATTTATCTAGATATATTAGGTCACTGACCTAACACAAAGCAGACAGCACGAGATTGGACAATGTTTCAGTGACACACACTTAACTGCCACTGAGATTTGAGGTTCTCTCAGTGGTGAATTTTACCACTACTATATTCTGGGACCTGATACCAACATTTGGGAGGAAACTACTGCCTTCATCTTCAGAGTAAAAGAGTCACTCTGTCTACCATATTATACAGTGTCACCACCCAGAGGGCTGTAATCCTAACTCCTTTGTTATTATTCTACAGTTTATCCGTTGTTTAGAAAAGATGATACATCTTAGGACTTTCTACTTCCACTGGCACTAGCCAAAGTTAAACTTTGTTATTTCTGTTTTCCCACATTAGGCTTTAATATAGTAACATTTCTTCTATGAGATGGTAGCGAAAGTAACTTACAGTTTGATTCGATCCCGGGTCTGGTCAAGTGGGATTCGTGGTGGACAAATTGGCGCTGGGGCAGCTTTTCTCCAAGTACTTCGGTTTCCCCTGCCAATCTTCATTCCACCAATTGCTCCACAATCACCCTCACCTATCATCTGGGGCTGGTACAATAGGCCAGAAGTGGCCGCAGTACAAGGGACTTAGTCCCACCCCACTAGCAATAAAAAACTTAGTTTACTCCAGTGATGGCTTGTGAGTGCCTGAACAGGTAGGGACAGAGCCAAATAAAACCTGCACCACTCCCTGAAAGCCTATATCCCTATCTCCAGAGACTGGGACTAGCTCTACTGATTGGACCCAACTGAGGTTTTACCTAAAGACGGAGACAGAATCCAGTCTCTGAAACGCAGTGTTTTGAAAAATAAATAGGATGACATTTTTAGATGAAGACAGGAGGATGGATAATGTCGAAAACATAACATTTGTAATAATTTCTCTGCATTAAATTTTAACACTAAGTTACATATTTCAATTCATTTATGTAAGAGCATATTTACCACTCCAGGCTGATTGAAGGCCTGTTTAAAGACACATATGTGTGCATGCACTGACTATAGCTCACAATCTGTAATGTTTTGGAGTGGCCTGCATTATCAATCTGTGTGTTGCATTGCCATTGCTATAAGAGGAATGTCTTCCACACAGCAGATAACCCATAGCGATTTTTGCAAAATCAATTAGATTTGTCTGAATACTGTATAGATAATTAGATCTGTTTTACAGGTTTTACAAAACTTTAGCAAAACATTTTTCTCTTAGGTAATACTGATGACATAAGAGATTCATAAAGTGGACATTAAAATTAAGTGAGATAACAAACTTACATGTGGTAACATCTGTAAGATATATATGTCATATGGTCAACTGACCAACCATCATGGGTAATGTTATAGTTTACTAGGGGGAAATTCAGTACCTCGTGAAATGCCGACATCACCGAATACTGACCTTTTGATACACATTTTTTCTCAGGAAAAAGCTATATGAGATAGGAATTCAAAACAGTTAGAGGGCCAAAGCATAATTTTCACTCTAAATGCCATTTGAGCCGTTTAATCCATGTTTGTGAAATAGAAATTGAACAATTAGGCATTGAATGGTAAAATGTAGTAATTCTATTACCTCCAAAGGAAACACATCCATTAATTTTAAATGACAAGACACTTCTCACCTTTCCATCTGGAAGCTTAATCTCTGAGGTGTCTTGTTTCAGTACAGATGGTGATGAAACCAATTCTTCCCTTACACCATCAAGGGAGAGACTACCCAAACTGGAACCAGAACCTTGTCTTGAATGGTGGCCTTTAGGTGCACTGCCATGGGTAATTTTCTGCGGAGGACTACTCAGGGATAGTTTTGTAGGATCACTACCTGTCTCTTCTTTGATTTTATTTTTCAAACCAGTAAACATATTTTAATGTGTTTTCCTGGCCTCTGAAATGATACACCACCTACAAAATATTATGATATTTAACATAATTGTTAAAAATACATCACCAAAGTAGTGCTTATATTGTCATTGAAATATTAGAAGCAGACAACATATTAATTTAATATATGACTTCTTTCATACTCACACCTTTAGTTGATCAATATGAACAGAAAATTGGGACACATGCCACACTCATTAGGTCACAGCCAGTATCATTTAATAACTGTTACATTTCAATCTACTGCTATGAGTCACTGTGTAAACGTTGTCATAAATGGGACACGAACTCACTTTCACACGACAGCTGCCATACTATTTGACGTCATTGAAATCCCTTTAAACGATAGTTTTTCATCACCTGTGGTTGGTACTAAATTTTGTCATGGCCTCCTTTGTCAAACCAGATGTTAGTGGTGGTAAGGCATTCGAATTAAATTAAATTAAAATTGCCAATATTGAGTTATACGTTACTTCTCTTTTCATTATACATATGGAATGTAAAATAGACAACACATGAAAAGATGTGGGATTTGAGGTTCATAGCGGCGTTTATGAAGAGGTCTGGAATATAACGTAGTGTAGTTCGCTGAAAGTCAACGACGCTTCGGAGGACCATGTCTCTTCCATCTTCAGGGTCGATGAATAATCCAATCAAAAAATCGGAGTGAAGCACGCAGCAAGCAAGCCGAGCTCTTTCTCTTTCTTGCTGCCTGCTTCGTATATATACACGCACTTAGACTCACTTCCAACTAGTACCGAAGTTAAGAATTGTGTAGCTATACCTCCACTCCTCAAGGCGTCTTCGTGGCATGGTGCTTAATTAATTGCGGCCAGAGATTCTTTGTGTCGTGTTTGTCATTATGGGGATTTGACAGTTTTAGCTTGTAGTACATGACTTTCACAAGAGATGTCGGAGCGGACCGTGGTCATTTCTTTCTGGCATCTAGTGGTAAATCGTAAAACTTATTTGAATTTGAATCGATTTGTGTATGCGTTAGTTTCGAGGTTTCGAATGTTTCGAACGTTCCGAACATGTGACTGTGGGTATTGTGGCAGTTGGTTTGAAGTTTTGAATTTTTGAAGTATTAATTCTAATTTAATAATTTCGTAATAGAGTTACGTGACATCTTTGATAATGAATTCTATTGCCGCAGAGGAGTCAGCTTTTTCCACGGAACTTGATATGACGTAAGTTAAATGTTATTAACATTGTATAACGCCAAGTAAATGTATAGCTTGTAAGACTGGGGTTCTCATAGTGGTGGTTCCATCTTTTGGGTAGTTCTTTGAAAGTAACCGACGTTTCGGAGGAATATGTCGCGTCTCTCTTCAGAGTCAGAGATTAAGCCAACCAAAAAACTAGCGTGAAATAGGTGGCACGTAGAGCAAGCTTCTTCAACCATGATGATGGAGGTGATGGGATCATCCAAAACCTCCTTTGATCTTCAAAGGAATACACAGCGTTATATCCCAGAAGATAGAATTCTATATGTGCTTCTAAACCAGTGTTTCTTAACCACCGGGCGCTTGTCTTATTGAAAAAAGAATTTACCGGGAAGCAGTCTGACAAAGATTAAGAACCACTGTTCTAAACAATGAAAAAATCAGACAATACAGTGGAAAACAAAGTATCTAAGTACTAGCTGTACCACTGACACTTCATTTTCGAAGTGATCTCATTGTTTTACATAGAAGAATGTTACAAAATATAAAAGATTTTGCCATAGAATAAGTTGAAATTTTGAGTGTTACAGTACATAACATGTAACATGGCAGTTTCTTCAGCAATGGTAGGCTGTCAGTGAATATAAATTCAAAACAATGTATGATGTCTTGGCATACTTATAAATTCCTTCTGAATTAAGGTAGTTAAGAAAACTGACTCATAATTATTATATAGACATGAGTAAAAGTAAAAGTATTAGCCATAGTGAAATACTGGAATTATCTGCTTTTAAACCAAAAATCAGTTCATTGGTGACAGGTAAATAGAGTTTAGCAGTTAAGGCGGGTCTGCTTTTTAGAGCTCATGATGCAAAATACAGTTTAATTTCCAGTAAGATATTCCTTCCCACCTCCCCAATTTGTATAACTTCTGCCACATGTCTAGGCTCTGCTAGCTTTCAGGCTGTTTTATTTTCCAATCTATAATAAATAATATTGTGGGTTCCCAATTGTGGAGCGTGGTCAGTTGGTGTGGTCTGCTAAAAACAGTATCCTCAAATTTCTGTGATTTTACCCTAGATTCTTAAAAACTGATAGAAATATGACCAAGGTGGAGAAAATCTGATTCCCAAAGAAAACCCACACACACACACACACACAATGGGATGCTAAACTTTGAGGTTATGTGAGGCAAAATTAACATAGATGGGCTCTAGTAATGGACATTATGTGTAGAAATGGATCAGTAAATTGTATAATTGTTAATCACCTCCTAAGTCATGTGTATTTCCCAGAGTTTCTTCTTAGGTTATAGGATCAAAATTTTCTGATTTTGAGAAGTTCATTAATTTCATCTGATTCATTCATTGAGCCTACTACAGGGATCATATTTGTATATAACTAGCTAACTCCATGGGGATGAGCCCTTCTTGAGAAGCCACCAGTTGTTTATTTATTTATTTATTTTGTCTCTATAGATCATTGTTACATGATATAGGACAAGTCAGTTACTGTACATTGGCCGATTACAATAAGAGAATAAAGTTACAATACTTAAAATTGTTTACAATAGGTTACAGTAGATTGTGTGGAACCTGAGGGCTCATTACCATGTTCAGGAAAGCCCTCCACTGGTCTCTGTCCTGAACCAGATCAATTTAGTCCACGCCACCCAATCCTATCTCTCTAATATCCATTTTAATATTATCCATCCATCTATGTCTTGATCTTGTTAGTGGTCTCTTTTCTTCTAGCTTTCCCACCAAAATTCTACATGCTTCCCTCTTCACCCACATTCATGCTACATATATTGATATACATGTCTTTGGGAGCTGGAGTAGCTCAGTAAGTATAGTGGTTAGGCTACTAGCTGGATGACCAGGGTATCAAGATTCATTTTCCAGCAGGGGCATAGATATTTCTCTTCCCCATGCATCCAGTCCAGTTCCCTCTCTCATCCTCCTAACCTGTTGGTGTCTGGGGCTTTTTCTCAGGTGTTAAGCTACCAGGACATGAAGCTGACCACTCACGTCCATTTAGTGCCCAGATTAAGACTATATGATGTCATACATCCACTTCTTCTGTGTCTTAATGTTCTATTGCTTATTACTGAAGCACATGTCTCATCTACTATGAGTATTGCTGTTCTTGAAATTCATTCACTTTAATGGATTTAACTGCCACATAGGAATAGAGGCATAAATATACTTAGGTATATTTATCTGGAAGAAGAATGTCCTGAATAGAAACAGGCATCCATAAAGATCACTAACTTAAAATCGCTGTTGGAAATAACCATACCTCTTAAGTGTATGCCATAGAAAACTTTGTTCATTTCGCTGTGATTGTCCTATTATCTACCTGAGGACTACATTGTAGTGAGATTTTTTATGTGAACATGCACTTTGGTAGAAGATTTGTACTCCTTTTGTCAAATTAGGCTGACCCAAATTGCATAAGTTCCTATCGTGGAAACACTGTATATTTATTTATTTATTTATTTCGTCTCTATAGATCATTGTTACATGATATAGGACAAGTCAGTTACTGTACATTGGCTGATTACAATAAGAGAATAAAGTTACAATACTTACAGTTGTTTACAGTAGATTACAATAGTTAAGATTTCATATAGTGTGAGGTGGAATCCATATTAGGTCCCCTCGCCACGTTGGCTTCCATATGTCCTATTGTACCTGTACTGGTGATAATGCTTATGGAGAATTTGATGGAATGAGGATTGGCAGGGGAAACCGAAGTACTTGGGGAAAACCTGCTCCAGCGTCACTTTGTCCATCACAAACCCCACTTGACTAGACCACAGCAGTGGGAAGCCAGCGACTAACCGCTTAAGCTATGGCGCGGCCTTTGAGATAATATTGGTGAATTTGGTGATAGCACTGGTATATCGTTTCACTGTAGACTCTACACTGCAACATCTCATTACATCTGTTCTCCCATCCTGGTGCAGCTTCTTGGCGTCTGCAATCTCTCCAGAGTAGCCCATTCAGGTACACTCACTCAGAAAACTCACTGTGCGTATAGACGAGACAGGCATATACATATGTGATTGGTCAATGACATAAGCTCAAGGGTGTATTTACTCGGTCCTAGATCATGCAGTTCATCATGCATATCCACTGTTTTGCATTCATGCTATCAGGGATGGTCCTAATGTTCTAGACATTAAGTAACTGTGGTTTTTCAGGAACACAGTTTGAAATTTCTGAATGCTTAAGCCTCTAATCCAGATTTTAAGAAACTTACTGTGTTTAAATTCTGTAACATCTGTTATTCAGTGCATGTGGAATGTTGTGCTGTCTAAAGAGATCTATGAGAAATGTAGAAAAGAATGAAGTCTAAAATGATGTAAATGAAACAGCAAATTTGTAAGGAAAGCTGTTTTTATGGTCATAAAATACTGTGTGTTGATAAACATGTGCCACAGCAAGAATTGTTTCAAGAACATTCCTTTTGTAGCTATTTTGTGTTTGTGACACTTTTCAAAGTATAATCACAGACTCATTCTACATTAAATTAACCAACTTGGAATTCTAGTTGCTTCACCATTTCAAATTTGGCTGACCACTCTTTTCTGAAGTCAGTATTGTGTCTTATATGATTTAGAATAAAAAGTTTTTGGATTTATGTAACTGAATTTAAAATCCGAGTAATTTTTAATCTCTGCAGAAGATTGATGATTTTGTGAAAAAAAAAGTTGCTTTTCTAACAACCCCATATTGCAGTTTTTGTGGGAAAATGTGGTACATTTGGCCCACTGTGTGCCTTATGAAACAAAGTTTTCGATTTGCATGTGATAAAATTGATACAAAACTCATACATCCAACCTGTAATGCAGGCCCAAGTGTACTATGCTCTGGGGGCATGAATGACATATCGGCTGCATTTTTTTGAGTACCGTGAGATGTGTATACAGGGTGTTTCACGACTTTAGGGCATAACTGCAGGAGGTGATTTCCTAGGTTTGTGATCAAAAAAGTTCATATAAACATGTGTCCGAATTTGGACGGTTACGGTGTTATGACCGTTTTAAACTCACAATAGAAGGTAACGATTACTGACAATAAACGGAACAAAATAATAAACCAGCATAATACATGATACATTTAAAGTATGAATGTAAAGTTAACTTCGTGAAATTGCCTTTCATTTGAATTTATTGGTGCTGTGAGCTGATTTTCTAAAATGCCACCGCCGGCCGCAACACAAGCTGCCGCTCGGTTGTGAACCGCGCGGGATATACCAACCCACCACGCCTTAGGTACCTCTCAAGTGTCGAGATAACGAGAACGCACTGTCTGTAGCTGGCTAAAAATAGCGACCCGCCAGATGGCAGACGCGGTTCACACGAGGGCGTGTANAAAAACGGTAACTACTCCGTAACCGTCCAAAATCTGACACATGTTTATATGAACTTTTTTGATCACAAAGACATAGGAAATCACCTGCAGTTATGCCCTAAAGTCATGAAACACCCTGTCTAGAGAGGTCGTGTGAAACGCGCCCTTCAATGCTCCTTTGTTATTACTACAGAATGGTAAAGGTAAAGGTAGTTTTCCCAGTACTCAACGAATTAAGCACTACGCCATGAAGGCGTATGGGGGAGTGGATGTATAGATCCACATTTTCTTGACCTTGGCACTATATGGAGGTGAGTGGTCAGTTTCATGCCTCTGTCACTTTCCCCCGGGAAAAGGGTCCCCAGTACACATTGAATAGGAGGTTGGGTGGACCCCAGAGCCAGTCTTGACGATTTGGAGAAGAGAAAATTCTTGACCCTACCGGGACTCGAACTCCAACCCCTCAGCCATCCAGCTCGTAGCCAGTCGCTATACCGACTAGGGCAAATAGGAATTTTCAGAAACATCATTTATAAAATACTACTAAAGCTGAATCAGTAGTCTGAGTTGTAGATGTTTTTAAGAGGGCCTGCAACTCTGAAATTCTATGTCTCCAGTCGTTGCTAGGTAACGGCCGCAACATACACGCACGAAACAATAGAAGAGCTATGTTTTGTATGTGGTCCGTGCCGAGATGTTATAACTGGGAGATTTGTAGCTTAGAATTCTGTACGGGGATCTGTGAAGAGAGGATTTGAGCCACACAATATATGAAAATGTAATTTTGGCGGGAAATTCTTACGAAGCGACCACAAGAAGGTTTAAGAAGCAGCTGGGAGGATAACATTAAGATTAAAACATAGGCTACGAGGTAATTCAACTACGCATTTAATTACCGACTCTCGCCCCAACCTCTGATTCAGCAATGCCTGCTGATACCTATTCACGAAATCTGGCATGTGACGGAACCTGTACGAAGTCGGCCGAGATAGTACATGATATACGAATACATAATGAGAATACTCCCTTTTCCGCACTCCTACGGCAACTTCTTCGACACTCTTGTATGGCTGTACAGTCTAAACACTCTGTTGCAGGCGTTTGTCAGTCACCTTTCTTCTTTTGCTTATTTTCAGCGAATGAGTGCTATGATTCGGTTTATTACAGATCTGAGAACACTCCTGAGTTGGGATTCTTTGTAAAATAACACTGCACAGAGGGCGATGCGTTTTTGGCGTATGGTTCGATATAAAATTATATTGTTCTTATTGTATGTTCAGTCTTTTGACGTTCAAAATACACGTGTAAGTTAAACGTTTAATGTTACCGGAACACTTTTGCTGGAACTGTAAATACGGTTGACGTAAACAACGCTCAGTTTTAGTGAACTGAAGTATTCATGGGCTTTCATATAATGTATTTGCTATTTTTGTGTAAGTATCTGCATAGGCGAACTCAAAATACAGAATGGGTACTGTGTACAGGGTATAAACTAGAGTTTTTCTTTTTTCAACAGTGTTCACAGTTATATAATTGGACATAGCTGTAGAGCTTCCCCCACATTTCAATGATGATCGTGACACTTCGAGTCAAGATGAAGGAATTATGTTTAGTGTTAAAAGGTATTTTCCGATGCAGTGCACCGGAGATATGTTCCGGAACCTGTTTAATTTTATAAATAAAACGTTAATCTGCTTTTGCTTATATAATTCTTGTAACTATATCCTTAAGAACATTTGTATTTGACATTTCACATCCACGCTTGAAGCCATTTGGCGTTTTCGAATTCAGAATTTGGAATCAATGAAGTGTCTTGCCATATGGACAAGGTTAGATTCATCGAACAGCACACACAAACGCGGATGTAAGCCCACATCGTGCTCGGAGCAGGGTTCGAATTCGCGGTCCCAGTTATGGGCCAGTATTGTGAAATCTTGTAAGATCGACTCTGGTTTTGAGCCGCGCCGTTGAAGCCCCTTCCAAGGTTTTGCAAGCATTGCAGCTACCACTTATTGAATTTTGTAACACGCTCATGTTACATTCGGACTAGAGGCATGTCCAAAGGTTTTTAGAAGTACATTTTACCTTCCGTTCAGAACTGAAAGTTATCTTTAAAAGAGCTGCGCAATGAAAAGTAAGACAGTGTGAAATTTTACTTAAAACAGTTTCAGGCCTTTATGAAAATTCATGATCCGTGTTATCAAATTTGAAAAAAAGAAAATGTAAAGGCAAAGTTGTCCCTTTGCTCAATTAGTTAAGCGCTATGACATTAAGACATTAGAGAGTGGAGGTATAGCTCCCCCATTCTTGACCTCGGCACTAGATGCAGTTTAGAGAGAATAATTTCTGTGATGCTTTGTAGTCCTACATTTTCCTAAAAGCCTGACAAGTAGGGTGGTGTTAATACATTGCTGATTATTCATTTCTGGCTCCCTTAAAGGGCCCGAATTTCGAAGACGGTTTAGTCTAAGTTTTCGGTAACTTCGACTCAGGATTCTGAGATACAGCACGGGACTTAAACCAAGTGTAAAGCTATGCAATGAAACACAACCGCTTGCTTACACAGTAACATACATCTGGAACGGTCGCTGTCCGCGCATTAGGTTTGCTGTAGGAGTCTATCTTCCCCGCTTTTGTCATATCTTGCACATGGATTTGTCACTGTGAATGTCATCTTGTTACAGTACAAGCCTGTTTCATATTTATTTACCGCCCCGCTTTTAAACTGGAGCTTATCTTAATACATTCGGGCGGGGGGACGGTTTCTATCTCTGTCCTTCAATCGATCCCACGGAAATATGTCTCGCTTCTCCCCTCGCTGAGACGCGCAGATGCAAACTTGTGGCAGTACAGATGCGTAGTTGAGGATGAGTGGTCGCTAGGCAACGCAGCATCCTGAACGAAAGAGGAAGATGGTGTACGGGTTTTGCTTCTCCCGATGCTGGCCCTTGATGAATTAGGTCATCGCTTTCAGTTGCATACTCCCTGATTTATTTGGAATGGTGGTTGCCGTGTCAGTGAGTGTGGCGGGGTTTCTTGGTGGAATTTCACTTCATTGTCGTTATATGTGCGAAAAATATTGGTCAGTTTTATTCGCAAAAGAAAATTAACGTCCTTTAGGTAAAAATGGCAGCTTGTTTTATGAGTGATGTGAAGAATGCTGCCACGATTCCTGTGGACACAGAACCGGAAATGGGCAGAGATGAGTTCGTATACATCGGAACAGCGAAGGTTTAGCAATGTCCCCGCAACAAAAAGATATCGACGGAGGAGAATCTCGTGTGTCGTGTCCCCCACAGTTTTGTCCTCGTTTGATACTTCCTTCATACCTCACCTTCGTCATCTTGGGCCTCGAAGGACATCACTCAGCGCCCTTGACTGTCCAGGATTCAAAATGCAGAAGAGAAAGAAAAAACATCGCTATTTTACTGGAAGAACCTCTATAAGGAATTTGAAGAAAAAGGAATAATGTAACTTCAGTGAAACAGGAGAGTGTTTGGCACAAAATGTACATTATCTGTACCGTGTGTAACTGTTGGACTTTAAAATGACTGACTTTGTATCATAACGGACTTATCAAAATTTCATAAATGACATAATTGATCGCAACCTTTTGTCGTGTTGACTGTGATTTTGCAAGTACCCTATGTCCATGACTTATTCCATCCTTGTTGAAGTGTAAACAGTGCCTCTTTTATCTTCTGTGTTTGATTTTCCCACTGAAAAATATTCTCTACAGAAGCTATAAAATAACGGTTTATTAATTTTTGTAATGACTTTTGTTCGTGTTTCGTCTCATCGGTACGGTAATTGGTTATGATGTGTGTGTGTTGTCCACCATCGTGACAGTTCGAACATTACAAAAACGAGAAATTGAACCGGTAGAAGTTTTTTCTTGTGTACAATCAACGAACCGCTCTGAATCAACTCATCATGTCAGTATTTAGATTTGGAACTGTAAGAAGCCCTCCTAGGCGGCCAACAGTACAAGGGTCAGAGCAAAGTCCTTTTTGGTAAGTTGATAACTTTACCAGTTTCCACCCACTTCTGATGTTCTCTCCGTAGCCTATTACTGTGAAGCTGTATGCAGACTATTAAGAAAGAGGTTATGTTTTGTTTCTCATTTATCATACGCCTTTACGAGTATATACATTCGTAGAATTAAACTAATAATTACAAGTTTCTTTGCTGGTGTAGTATTGTACTGACCACCTTCTCGTATCGACACTGGATACTTCTACAGAACTATTACGCTTATTTTGGACTCTATCCATCGTCTGGTATATAGAAGACAAAAACAACAACGTTTCGGAGACTGGATCTATCTCCGGCCTCAGGTGGATAGAGTAGGATAAACCTACTCAGTTGGGTCCGTTAGAAACTGGATACCTTGTTTGTGAAGTTAACGATACGTCAGCCAATTGGCAGTGCATTCCAGGTCTTCCCAAAACAAAAACTTGTCATGGCCGCAGTTATGGTTCAGTTTTAAATAGCATTTCGATGTGGACGTTTAGTCATCGGACTTTCAAAACAATCTGTAATGATACCATATTCACTGAGGAGGAAAATGAAGGTAACTGAACACTGAAGAAGAGATTCCAAGACTTTCTCAGCGCCTTAAATCATGTTGCATACAGGCATATTCTGTATTATTCATGGCAGTAACGGTAACTGCATTTGGCAATTGCTGTTTAGGTATAAAATAATTTATATTATATGATAATATTGTACTTTGTTCCGTGTTTCATCCCAGTATACTCGTATACATTAACAAATTATGACAGTTGCCGATTTTTTTTTATTATTATTATTTTTATGAAGCATCTTCGATCACTAATTATATCACTTTCTGATAGTTACAACGCAGTGCTGTCCTTACAGTTGGCAATATCGGAACCGTGCTACATACAAGATGCTTTTTAAAAAAAGGTAACGCTCTCCCTATAACAGGCCGTTGTGGCTCTTGGGGTTGTGAGACGTCGAAGACTCCCACGTTTTCTAGACGTTGGGCTCACAGATGGCGGTGAGTTTGTCAACTTTACGCGCCTGTCGCCCTTTACCCCCAGGAAGAATCCTGGTACGNCAAATTGTCACTTCCCTTCTACAGACTAAAATCATGTATGGATTTCTTTCTGTCCCATGTGGGTTAGATGCCTCACCCATCTAGTCTCAGTAAAGCAGATATCCCCCGTACGCTGTTATGAATCATCCTCAACGTATGCATTTCCTCTTGGGCAATAGGCAGTGTAATTCGGAGTCTACATGTGGATCGCCTGCGTATAACGTTAGACATCTAGTACAACCGTAAAGTTTACATGTTAACCAGACATCATACCACGTACCTTTATAAGTGCAAAGTGAAATATTCATCTCTTTTACGGTCTTTCTTTCTCATACGACGCTGTAAACTTAAGGTTCAATCGGAATACGTTTGCTTAGCACGGTATTTGGTAATGACAGTAACATATTTTATTTTTAAACAATGATTCAGTTGTATTCATTTTACTGAGAATTAGAACGTTTAAGCAAATTTAACTTCACGCATGAGGACGATGAAATTCTTTATTAAAAGTACATTAATGTTATATTTCAGTACAGCGTCTTTTGGCAGACGTAAATAGGCTAATTTTGGAAGCGAGTGGACAAGAATTATCAACACCTCTTAAATAGACGCCTTGCTAGCCGTATGCGCCAAGGGCAGGGTGCCAATATTGGCATCATCTTCGGTGGCCCTGTCTCAAAACTGAAATGGCGTGATAACATACTGCTTTGCCAGTACGTGACGGCCATTTTGTACGCATTTGTTTACTTAATTAGCGGAGTCCATGGAGAGGAGTTGTTCAGCCAGCCAAGAAATTCCCCTCCATCTTTGGAACCGTATTCATAAGAACCCGACACTGATTCCTGTTATGTCAGAAGAATCCAATCCACACTCCTACTTTTTTTTTCTGTGGCGCTACAGCCCCAATTTGGGCCTAGGCCTACCTCCATGAAACTCTCCTTTTCACTTCGGTTTACTAGATCTTTCACATGCGGTAGGACTCCTTGGGCGAGTGATCAGCTCGTCGCAAGGCCTCTGCCTGTAGACAAACACAAAAAAACGCACACAACATTCATGCCCTGAGTGGGATTCGAACCCACGATCCCGGCTTCCTAGCGAGTGAAGACAGTGCATGCCTTAGACCGCTCGGCTACCGTGACCGGCACACTCCTACTTTATTCATCTAATATTTGTTCCAACATCTTCACAGTTACGCCCATATCTTCTAAACAGTCTCTTATTTTCACCTTCTCAAAAATTCGGTAGACATGCTAATTTCTAGTCTGTTCCATGTTTGTTACATGTCCAGCCCATCTCTTCTTGATTTCACCTCTTTAATACCATTTAGCGAAGAGAAAAATTATTGATCTCCTCATTATGCATCTTTTAGAGGTTTATTTGTAACTGAATTTTATTTCTGTGAAATTATGATATTGTGTCCACGAGATTTGCTGCATACCCGCGAGTCGGAAGTGTCACACTTGAATCCGTTTTGCTGCCGGCCGGGCCTTTAACATTTTTCCAAATAAATGCCAATCTCATCCTTTTGCGACTGTGTGATACTTTTGTGGCAAGAGTAAAATTGCTTTGAAATGTCATGACATTTATTTGGCATGCCCCGGAGTATAGTGACTTCTCCAGTAAAATTGACGCCCTGGTTGTCTTTCCTTGCATTCAGTACAAATTTCGTTCAGAAAGACCCAAGTTGCACAAAAATAAGTAATAACGTTTGACAGTAGTAGCAATAGCAGTCCAAGTTCAAGTAATATTCTGATTAGTACAATGCAATCCATCAGTTTTATTGTTTACATTTGAGGTGTTAGATTACTGACAGTTGAAGTCCGTGTTATGACCATGATGATGGTTGTGCTCACCCTCTTCTTGCACCTTCGTTTTTTTCGTGTTTCTGAAAACGGCAGGTACTTGAAATCCGTTATAGGCTGCAGGGAAGAGTAGGGTAAAATGGTGAAGTGGATAACTTTATAAATTAACGTTGTATCGAATGGTGGTAACGCGAGATACAAGTTTTGAGTTACAGGATGAAATGTGTGGCAGCACTTGGAAGCTGTTGGCGCCACTTTGCTTTATTCGAAGGCCACAACCAAAACAATTTCGACACAGTTTTTGCCTCGTTTTTAAGAACTGCTTGTAATTTGTTAAAAAATTACCCTGGTGTTGTGTGAGTACTTAGACCCTGTGCTTTATTTCAGCCGGTTCGCACCCCTGCAAACAATTGGTTTATTTCTGCAAACTCGTCAGAGGTGTAATGTCTCACATCTGTTGGAGCGTAGTATTTTTCAACATTGAGGCTACAACCGATCATGACAGTGCAGGCAGACATTTTGTGTGGGGGGGGGGGAGGCGCCCCATAGACCGACATTATAATGCGTCCTTACTAAACCGTCACACTAAAACTCTTCCTGGTTTCAAACATTAACCCTTTTGTATTATATAGTGCCAAACAGAATTACTCAGGCTTGACATTGTAGTTTTCTGTCGAGTACTTCAGGGTGAATATTTGGACCGAAGAGGGATGAAGTGACAGGAGGTTGGAGAAAACTGCATAATGAGGAGCTTCATAACTTGTACTCTTTTCCAAGTATAATTAGAATGATCAAGTCAAGAAGGATGACGGGCAGGGCATGTAGCACGAATGAGGGGGAAGAGGAATTCATATAGGATATTAGTGTAAAAGCCAGAAGGAAAGAGGCCACTGGGAAGACCAAGGCGTAGGTGGGTGGACAATATTAAAATGAAACTTAGAGAGAGGGTATGGTATGGATTGGATTGATCTGGCTCAGGGCTCTTATGAACACGGTAATGAACCTTCGGGTTCCATAAAACGCTGGGAAATTCTTGAGTAGCTGCACATTTGTCTTCTCCTCAAGAAGGGCTCAGATCCATAAGTAAGTAAGTAAGTAAATTCATGGACAGACATAATTATCTCCACATTTCGCATGCTTAGGATGCGTATGCATGCAGTGAAACCCTGTCCTTAATTTGATGCCACTTACAAGATATATTACACTTCTCTTGGCTTGTACATTGTTCTAGACTAACCTCGACCTAAAAATAATTTTGCCACGAATAACTGGAGTACGGTGGTACAGAGACGCACGGATGCTGTGCAACCTTGATTGGTAATCTTTGTCACTTGAGATAAACCATTGACACCACAGTTCAGTTCGCCTTCGTGCTTTTATTGTAAGAAGGAACTTCTTCCCCTTCTTGTCTATTAAATCCCCTCTTTCCAGATTGCAGACGTCTTCGTCGTAAAAACAGAAGAGGGTTGAAGTCTGAACAAGATGCTTGGGCCGGCTCACCCAACATCCCTTGCGCGTGTATGTGATAGAACCAGTGTTTACGACTTTTTGCTTGTGCATCTTTCACTAGCCACAATCATGACGTGAACGTCCTCTTTAAGTCCAAAAAGATGGAGAAGGAATTTCAGTGTTTTGTAAAGCTTTCTTTTTTTTGGCACGAAGTAGCCATTTTACTTGCCTCGTCTGTTCGATTCTTTTAGTTGAGTTTTGATTAGTTCCACTCTTTTGCTACCCTGTAATTGATAAATTGGTGCAGATCTGGGAACTGGTTCTTTTGAAGGAGTACTTCCATCATCACACGCAGTTGTTTTTCTATATACATTTCATGCAGTTGAGAAAGTGTCATTAAATTAATTAATATATCAGTCACTGGAAATGTTGAAAATAACATTTTCCAACTACAAACTTTGCTGTTTTTTGCTATGTGTTGCCGTACTTCGGATTACAACGGATTATATGGTTGTAGATCATTTGTGATTTGTCGTTTCTCTCCCTAGCTTTGTTAACATTTCAGTTAAGATTTTAGGAACTGAATTCTGGCTCACTTTAAAATTTCTGGATTTATATTCCTGTTGGTAAAGTAAATTAATGGCATGTACTGTCTTCGTTAGCTTGGAAACCGGGATCGTGGGTTCGAATCCCACTCAGG